CTTGGTTGGGGGGGGGGGCACTGTGCCTCCACTCTTTCAGGTTCCCCTAAAGTGCCCCCTTATCATTTTGTACATGTCCTTTTCCCTTCTGATAGGTGCCTACTTTTCTTTCTCAGATGTTTTAATTATAATGTTACTCATAATTACATAAAAGAACTTTTCAGTCTTTCTTCATTAAATTGTCTTTAATATTCATCATGTAATTTTTCAAATGGGACCTTACACTTTTAGCTCGCTTGCTCGAAAATCGATATTCAGTCCATCACACCAAATCGCGAAGTATGTTGCTTAAACAATAATGTTGTTCCACGTAAAGAAATAAACAAATATTGATGTCATTCGTGGTAATGTATTCACAATCTTGACGAAGGCGTAGGCCTTTATACAAATATCTAAAAATGGTTTTTTATTATTGTTGATGTGTCCCTTTGTAGGTGCCCCTTTTTCAGAAATCCAGCCATTCTTGCGATCATAGGCGCCAGAAGTGGGGGCAGGGGACTCGCCCTCCTCCCAACGAAAAGTGTGTGTGTGTGGGGGGGGGGGGTCAAAACGAATTTCCACTCCCCCCCCAAAAAAAAAAATTAATAAAAAAAATCAGCAATAAAGCAGTATAATTGATTACTATTTAGTAACCAAAAAGAACAAGAGTTGAGAGGAATGAAGATGATGAGAGGGATAAAGATGAGAGGGATGGAGATGATGAGAGGGAAGGAGACAATGAGAGGGATGGAGATGGTGAGAGGGATGGAGATGGTGAGAGTGATGGAGATGATGAGAGGGATGGAGATGAAGAGAGGGATGGAGATGATGAGAGGGATGGAGATGGTGAGAGGGATGTAGATGATGAGAGGGATGGAGATGATGAGAGGGATGGAGATGGTGAGAGGGATGGAGATGATGAGAGGGATGGAGATGATGAGAGGGATGGAGATGATGAGAGGGATGGACATGATGAGAGGGATGGAGACAATGGGAAGGATGGAGATGATGAGAGGGATTGGTGAGGGATGGAGGGGATGAGAGGGAAAGAGACAATGTTGATGATGTAAGGGATGAAGACATTGATGAGAGGGATTGGTGAGGGATTGAGACGGTGTGAGGAATGAAGATGATGAGAGGGATGGAGATGATGAGAGGGATGGAGACGGTGTGAGGGATGGAGACGGTGTGAGGGATGGAGACAGTGTGAGGGATGAAGATGATGGGAGGGATGGAGATGGTGACAAGATGGTGAGAGGGATGGAGACGATGAGAGGGATGGAGACGGGAGGGATGGAGACGTCTCCATCCCTCTAATCATCAATATCGTCTTCATCCCTTACATCATCAAAATTGTCTCCATCCCTCTCATCATCTCCAATTCTCCATCCCTCACATCGTCTCCATCCCTCTCATCATCTCCATCCCTCACATTGTCTCCATCCCTCTCATCACCTCCATCCCTCACATTGTCTCCATCCCTTTCATTATCAATATCATCTCCATTCCTCTCATCATCAACATCCCTCACCAATCCCTCTCATCATCTCCATCCCTTACATCATCAACATTGTCTCCATTATGTATTATGCCACGTTGTGGAAATGCAATTTTATTTTTGTATTCATTATTTATTTATAGTATGTACATATTTACAGGTACACAAGATCAGATATAAATTTGTTAACCCCCAGCCCCCCCCCCCAAAAAAAAATTGTAACATGCAGATGACACGCCACACCATTCCTTGTGTTGTGGTATTGGTACGTATTATTTCATATGCAATTTACAAGGCCAAAAAAAATCTAAATAAATAAAGTTAAAACAATTAAATAAAAATAAGGACATGTTTGAAAAACACACATAATAGCAATAAACATTATTTGTTTATGACTCCAAGATACAAATTCCAACAATATGACGTCAAGCTGACTCAAAATAACAATTGATAAGCAGGTGTAATCGTGTTTTAATTTTATGCCACGTTGTGGTAATGCAATTATGTTTTTTTATTTATTATTTATTTATAGTATGTACATATTAACAGGTACACAAGATCAGATATAAATCTGTTAACCCCCAGCCCCCCCCCCAAAAAAAAAAAAATTGTAACATGCAGAGACCAGTACAGATGACACGCCACACCATTCCTTGTGTTGTGGTATTGGTACGTATTATTTCATATATGCAAGTTACAAGGCAAAAAAAACCTAAATAAATAAACAAAGTTAAAACAATTAAATAAAAATAAGGACATGTTTGAAAAACACACATAATAGCAATAAACATTATTTGTTTACGACTCCAAGATACAAACTCCAACAATATGACATAAAGCAGACTCATAATAACAAATGATAAGCAGGTGTAATCGTGTATTAATTTTATGCCACGTTGTGGTAATGCAATTATGTTTTTTTATTTATTATTTATTTATAGTATGTACATATTAACAGGTACACAAGATCAGATATAAATCTGTTAACCCCCAGCCCCCCCCCCCCCCAAAAAAAAAAAAAATTGTAACATGCAGAGACCAGTACAGATGACACGCCACACCATTCCTTGTGTTGTGGTATTGGTACGTATTATTTCATATATGCAAGTTACAAGGCAAAAAAAACCTAAATAAATAAACAAAGTTAAAACAATTAAATAAAAATGAGGACATGTTTGAAAAACACACATAATAGCAATAAACATTATTTGTTTACGACTCCAAGATACAAACTCCAACAATATGACATAAAGCAGACTCATAATAACAAATGATAAGCAGGTGTAATCGTGTATTAATTTTATGCCACGTTGTGGTAATGCAATTTTGTTTTTTTATTTATTATTTATTTATAGTATACATATTTATACAGGTACACAGATATCAGTTATAAATCTGTTAACCCCCAGCCCCCCCCCCCCCAAAAAAAATTGTAACATGCAGAAACCAGTACAGATGACACGCCACACCATTCCTTGTGTTGTGGTATTGGTATGTATTATTTCATATATGCAAGTTACAAGGCAAAAAAAAACCTAAATAAATAAACAAAGTTAGAACAATTAAATAAAAATGAGGACATGTTTGAAAAAAAGATTAAAAAGGGCACTTATTCAAGATTATTTCAAGATTTATGAGAATGGAAAATGGACACTTATTGCAAAGGAAAATGGGAACATGCCGAAGGAAAAGGGGCACGTGTCAAAAATAAAAAAGGGCACACGTCAAAGGTGAAAAGGGGGAAGGGGCACTTTTACTAAGTAAAAGGGGCACTTGTCAAGGGAAAAGGGGCATTTCTTACAAAATTAAAGGGCACTTTTTCTATGTAAAAAGGGGCACTTTTGGGGTATCTGAAAAAGTGGGGAGTGGCACTGTGCCCCCCTGCCCCCACCCCCCGGGAGGGCCGCCTCTGCCCCTGCCCCTCCATGCACCGGCACGTCATTGCAAAATCATGTCTTAATTGCTTTGCTTTGTATATATCTCTTTGATTCCCAGAAAAAGGGAACAAAAAGGAGATTTTTTTGGTTTGTTTGGGGGGGGGGGGGTTGGTGGGGGCTACATTATTTATACAAAAAACTTGAAGCCAATACCTTCTTTTCGTAGAATTTTTTTGAAGCAGCCCCCTCCAAAAAAATAAGAAGGCGATTCTTCAGCTCACTGAAGAATCTGCTTAGAGTACTAGGCTAGGCCCTTAGTTAGATCTAGCTATTTATCAAGTCTCTAACTTTTAGGAGTAAAATATGATTATCTGATTATGAAAAAAGAAAAATTCCATTCCTTCCTTCATAAATCGGATATTCTACTCTGAATGACTAATCTAGAATATGATGATGTAGCTACAGAGATCTAGGTCTATTTTACTCACTAAATCAAATTGGATATTCTACTCGGAATGAATAATGATAATACAGTAGATATAGATCTAGTTTGATTAGTTATACTCACATCACTCGATCAAATTGGGCAGTACAATCATGCAATGCAGTGCAGCGGCCCGGCACGAGTCAGTGAATTCCCCCGCCGACCCGACCGGCGGCGCTGTACGGCTAGCTGCACACTGAGCTGAGCTGCTGCGGTAGCACTAGGCAGTAGTCTGCTAATTTACGGCCAGGACGAAAGAATGTGAACAAACATCAACCATCTCGTCTAAAATGTACTATATTCGACTTCTCAATAATGAAATCTGTGTCAGGAATAAAAAATAGACCTTCATACGAGATAAAAATGATATTTTTGCAGTGATTTACCGACAAAAACACTGCTCGAATTTCAGTGGTCCGAGTAGATACAACGCGCATTTAATGTACGTGCGGCAATGCGGATTGCGAGCTGTGAGTAAATTGTCCGAAATGTCATTTTTTTTGTCATTTTACCTAAAGATAAGTCATAGATTGTCTTCATTAGTATCATTTAACACAATTCCATTAAAGATTTAGGTTGGAAAGGGCATTATTAAGTCACAAAGAGCACAAACATATACACATTGAAATCTTTCGATCGATTAATCAGGTCGGGACATCTCGGCCCAGTTTTTCCAGCTGGGCCGAGTAGTCCCGTGGGCCGAGTTAGCCCGGATTCATATTTTTGCATCGAGGTGATTGAATATTTGATGTTTTTATTCATGTACTACAACTAGTACTAGACCCTATATAGAGTACTAGGCCTATATTATAGGCGTACTATAGTACTAGTAGTATAGACCTACATGAATAAAAACGTGAAAGTATAATACTAACTAGCCTACTATTAGTATAAGGCAGCGAGGTGCCAGCCAGAATACGTAATGTCGTATTTTTTCTAGTGTGTTTTGTTTATGAAATGACATTCTCACCAGATTAAAAATGTCATTAATATTATTTTGATAGTCTCACTCCCAAATTTAAAACAAAAAATGTTTATGTACGTAGACTCCAGAGGTCTACATGTATATGTGTACATGGCACTTGAAGAATTAAAATCTGCTACAATATCCTTCCCCAAAAAATATATGTAACAATAACATCATTTTCAATTTCCCCATCAGGTGTAGACTTTTTCTGTGTGATGTTGTTGAACTAGACTGTACATGACTATCTGAAACGAGAGGCTACGATGGGAACCAAGGTGTCCAAGAACCAAGGGCCGACGGCCTCCAAGAAAGTGAAGGCTGTGGCAGCTTTCCAACTGGCAGGAACAAATACCAAGCTGAAGAGAGTAGCTCAGCTCGCCAAAGCTACCTGTGAGTATGTCAGCATCTCGTTCATGTTTAGGAAAGAGGGGACCTTTTGGCTGTAGGGCATCGGAGGAAAATGAAGAGAATACATTGTTTTGTTTGAACAATTGCAGTATAGTCTTTGTCATAAATTTCTATACTGATCAAAACCAAACTTGTTTCAAAATATGAATTTAAGAGTTGAATCTCCTGGTTTAGTCTTTCAGCTTAGAAAGATTATTTGGTGCTGAGTTGTAATGTTATTTGGGACTTATATTAATCCCAAATATTTAAAACAATAAAACAAGGGAGGGGGGGGGGGGGGTCATCCTATGTTGTAAATCTATCATCACCTCATAGTCATAGATTGTAACATGCCTCTTTTGCAACATTTTTTTTTGGCATGTACAGAGCTGCCAATTGCGTTTTTCCCGGAGTTATTCATTTTTTTTTCCTCAAAATGACGGTAGTACGTTTTTTCCTTCATAAAAAACGTTTGTTTGGGGGGTTTTGGGAGTTGCACATACCGCACATCAACCAAATGCCCTTAAATGTTGATCAATACTTCAATAGAATTCAATAGAGATTTATTAAGAGTAAGAATTTACAAATACATGTAGTAAAGAACAAAAATTGAAAGGCGTAAATATTCTCAAAAAGAATGAAACGCCAATAATACCAAACAACAACAAAAAACTACCTACTTGTAAGTAAGTCCTAAACTCCTAATATGGAAATAACAGCATGCGAAATGGACATTTCTGCATTGGAAGTGTGTTGCGCATGGTTGTAAGTTTCGTTTTAATGAATTCCTTTTTTATGCCTCCGTTACGAAGTAGCCGGAGGCATTATGTTTTCGGGTTGTCCGTCCGTCCGTCCGTACGTCCCGTTCTCGTGATCGCGTTATCTGAAGAACCGATTAATGGATTCCTGCCAAACTTTGGTCATGTATGTTACTTGCAGAGCCGATGAACTGATTAGATTTTGGGGTCAAGAGGTCAAAGGTCAAAGGTCACAGGGCTCATTATGTATGCAAAAACAGCTCGTGATCGCGTTATCTGAAGAACCGATTGATGGATTCCCAGAGCTGCCAACTAGTACGGATTTCCCGTAATTGGTACGGAAATTAACGACCATTACGGAATGTTGTCTCAAATTACGGATTAAAAAAAAAAAATGTTTTTTTTTTTTTTTTTTTTTTTTTTTTTTTTTTTTTTTTAAAAAAAAAAAAAAAATTAAATATGATTTATCGTAGCGAGTGCTGTGAATAGAAGCCATGTTTCATGATAAACTGTGTTGTGATGACCTGAAATTCAATATTTAACATCTTTGTGTGAGTAAAATCACCAAAAATTTCAGATAATCATGCGTCCGCGCAGTGTTGGCGTGCCGTTTTTTTAGATTCATAGCGCCGCATAAGAAATTACTGATTTATACCCCAAATTACTGATTTTGAGCCTTGTGATTACTGATTTTCTGTTCTGGAGGTTGGCAGCTCTGGATTCCTGCCAAACTTTGGTCTTGTATGTATCTTGCAGAGCCGATGAACTGATTAGATTTTGGGGGCACAAGGTCAAAGGTCACAGGTCACAAGGCTCAGGTATGCAAAAAGAGCTCGTGATCGCATTATCTCAAGAACCGATCGATGGATTCCTGCCAAATTTTGGTCATGTATGTATCTTGCAGAGCCGATGAACTGAATAGATTTTGGGGTCACGAGGTCAAAGGTCAAAGGTCACAGGGCTCATTATGTATGCAAAAATAGCTTGTGATTGCATTCTCATTAGAACCGATCGATGGATTCCTGCCAAATTTCGATCATGTATGTATCTTGCAGAGCCGATGAACTGAATAGATTTTGGGGTCACGAGGTCAAAGGTCAAAGGTCACAGGGCTCATTATGTATGCAAAAATAGCTTGTGATTGCATTCTCATTAGAACAGATAGATGGATTCCTGCCAAATTTCGATCATGTATGTATCTTGCAGAGCCAATGAACTGAGTAGATTCATGGGTCATGAGGTCAAAGGTCATGGGCTCATTATGTATCCAAAAATAACTTGTGAATGCATTCTCATTAGAACTGACAGATGGATTACTATTTAAGTCAGGACATCTTGCAGAGCCAATGAACTGAGTAGATTTTAGGGTCATCAGGTCAAAGATCAAAGGGTCATATATGTATATGAGAAATTGCTTGTAATCACGATATTCTGAGAACCTCTTAATGGATTACAATTGAACTTGAATTTGAAAAATTTCTTCTGTTTTGGTTTGTAAAATTGCTCTATGACGGAGGCATCATTTTCGACTGCGCGCAGTCGAAGTTCCATCTAGTTTTTGCTTGAAATATCTCTGTACTATCCATATGGAAAATACAGATGTCCCTTGAATTTTTGCTCTAATTTTCAAAAGTGTTGAGTAATTCTTTTTAATGTGTTGTCATTGAACAATTTATTTTTTGGGTTGAATAATTTTGTTTTAGCTGCCTCTGTGGATGTGAAGAAAGTCAATCTGAATCTCCCTCCAAGACCACCTTCATCTCCTGCTGTTGGTAAGTTACATCAAGTTCAAACAATCAGCAATTTTAAAGAGACATACATCTATTATGCAAACATTGTTATTCAAACTAAAAGAGAGTAACAATAGGTTATTTGTGGAGGGGGGCATTCAACCTTGAGATTTTGATGAGATAATAATAGTGGACACTCATACTTCAGAGTTACTGCGATTTTCACAAACAAGTACCATAACGCTAACGTAAAAAAAATGAAGAAAAAGAAAAACTACTTCTATGGAGAAAAAAATGATCTTTAGTTGTTGTTTTAATGTGGATAGACTTTTTATCTTGATTGAGATATAAATGATTATTATGAATAGAGAACTTGTGCATTATTCATTTTTATAAACTTTAAAAAAAAATATTGTTGCAACTTTGAGATGATGATGGATTGTTTGAAATCATGACACTGAATAAGAAGTTGTCATTTGTATGGTGTTTTTTACCACTTATTAAAAATGGGTAGAGGATGTTAAATTAGGAGAAGGAATAGAGTCCATGGAAATGGATGTAACGGTGGAAAAGCAGAGTCGTACTTGTTAAGATATGAAAAGGGTTTTTTGATTAAAGTAAATTGCCACTTGAATGGACCTTTCAATTCTCAGCTGATTATGCTTGCATCGAAGCATCCACTTCTTGCGGCTTTCCAGTCCCAGCCATAATTGACTCCAAGTTTAACGTCAACGCAAAGCACGGCGGAGGAACCGCCCTGCTCCTGCTTACACGAGGCAAGAGTGACAGTGATTCCTCCGAAATCACCTTGCTCAGATGCGGTTTCGATGGCAACCATTACTCTATCAAGTCACTAGCCCAGGCAGGTGAGCACAGCATCTACAACTGGAACGAGGTCTTCACCAACGCCCAAGGCTTCCTCCAACCCAAGCTGATCTACGGGAAATCTCACGCCACGGTCATCTCAAACATGGTCCAGTTTGGCCACGGAGGTTGTGGGGTCCTGTTTGAAGGACCCAAGGCTGGATTGTTTGGTGCCAACTTGAAGGCTAGCATAGTCCCTACACCTCCCATCAGTACGACCGCTGATCCAGAAGGCTCTTGTGCTCTTGTCATATGCAGCGCCCAGCCCAATAAATCGGGAGCGGTGCCAAGTCAGACATACCTTGTCCACTTTCAACGAGATGGCAACGTGAAGCAGGTGAGGCACAGGCTATGTTGTGACATCAGGCCATGAGATCTATACTGGGAGGAAATATTTGATTTTATTCTTTATTTTCGCACAGTCTGTTCCATGGTCAAGACAATGACCAAGACAGTGACAGAAGCTTACTACATAAAAGTTACAGCATGTTACATCTGTTGTGAAGTATCACTTTTTAGATCATCTTCAGAATAATCCACCACACAGACACAGGCAATTTTAATGACGTGGCTGTCCCTAACCTTAGCCCTAATATGTGTGGTTGGGTAGCCAACTTTTTAAAACCAATTTCCATCACATATCCGCTGTTGCTGTTTTTGTTTTTGTTGTTTGAAGCAGCCTTTTGATAAAGAATAGCTAAATATTCCTAAAATGTTTGACTCTTCATCAAGGTTCCCTTGCTACCCGAAGGAAGTGACAGCTTTTCCCTCAAGAGCTCAGATGGAAGCCTGCAACTGGATGGGCCATCTCTTAGTCATTACGTTGTCTATCACAGCAAGAGCGCTACCTTTGCAGAGGCTCACCAGGACAAACCCAGAGGGAAGGTCGTCCACCTCCAGGCGTTCAGCGGGATCAACCCAACCACTCTCCTGGAAGATGGCTCTAAGTTTGTAGGACGCACCATGCTAATCATGTGTTCTCATAGCTTACAGGATGAAGACTCAACCACATCTGCTCTCTATCAGGTAACGAGAAGCTAGATAGTATGATGTACAAAGTATGCATGCCTCCGCATTCAATATAACAAAATATATATATAAATTAAAAGACAAACTCAGAGTTTCCCGAGTAATGTTCCATTTCACTATTAAAGGCCACAGGCTGAGTTCGGAGTACAATGTCGCTGAGGAAAATTTTTAATTGAATGGAGTGAACATGTGTTTGATATATATTGAGCAAAGAAATTCATGCATTATTTGTTATATAGCATTGAGGGTATTTGTAGTCCTTGGCCTTTGAGGCCCTGTAGATTACATTCAGAGCTAAGACAATGCAAACAATGGGTACATGATACAGCGAAGCGAGATACACAGTCTAATTCAAAATTGTAAACGTTTGACTGTGCCAAAGATGATATGGTTATATTACATGCTCTTGCACATTTAACAAATTGTTTAGTGTCATGTGACACCTTTTTAGCCAATCTGATACCCACGAACAAATACCCTATTTTATATCATATTCCCAATCCCCCTATTGCAGGTTCACGTAAAAGAGCCATGTGGCTAGGCATTTCTCAGTGCTGTTTATTCTTACATACAGTGTATGTTTCATGTTTTGTCATCTATCAAGTCAGGCAGTGCCCCAGTTCTTGGTGTACCTCCTCCCCTTATGCCATCCATTTTCCCCTCCAGTTCATCTTTAATAAATGTAGCCAAATTTAATTTGGCCATTTAAATTTGTTTTTGCTCCAGTATATTTATTGATCGTAAATTACTTGTGGTACAAGGAGCAATTATTCTAAAATTTGAATTATAAAAGTGGGAATATACATGCTATAGAGGTTGAGGCAGCATTCCTTTTATAGAATGCCCCCTTTTTAATAGTAATCACTTCGATCTTTGTTGATGTAAACTACCCAAGCTTTTTACACACTAAGTATAGCAGTGATTTAGCAAAATAGATTATGTTTTAGTGTCCACTAGCTTCCATTGTAAGTGCAATCTAAAGTTATCTGTTTTGTTCTCAACTATTGCTGCTGCTTTTCAGGTGACCCTGATGAAAGACCAAGCTGGTGTCACATACATCGCTGGTATGTCTGGGGTCATGGAATCTGCAGACGTATGGACCATCTCCATGGCCGATAAGAAAGCCCTTCAGATCATTGGACCTAGCGGGCCGTGTCGCTATGCTCTCTTTACAAACATACCAGAAGATGTTCCAGACTCCAATGAAAGGTACTCCCAATCCTAGCGTCTGTCCCGTCTGAATAATGCTCAGCTGAAAGAAGGATCTATGTAATGTATCTGTTAGACATTGAGATATACATGAATAAGTGCCAACCATTCCTCCTTTGGAGAAATGATTCCTAATTTTTTGGCCTTCAAACTAATGTTAGAAACCCAAGATTCCTCTTTTTTCTGAAAACATATGTGTAAAATAATAATATCAGAGATAGACTATATTTTTATGCCTCCGCCACCAAAGGTGGTGCCGGAGGCATCATGTTTTCGGGTTGTCCGTCCGTACGTCCGTACGTCCGTCCCGTTTGACCGTTATCACAATATCTCAAGAACCATTTAAGATTTAAACTTAAGACTCTGGAATAGTATTTATCACCATAGGAAGACGATCTGATTAGATTTTGGAGTACGTAGGTCAAAGGTCACAGGTCACAGAGGTCAACTTATGAAATTCCTTGTATTGAGATTGTTAGGGCGATATCTCAAGAACCATTTGAGATTTAAACTTCAAACTTAAGGATAGTATTTATCACCATAGGAAGACGATCTGATTAGATTTTGGAGCACTTATGTCAAAGGTCAAGGGTCACAGAGGTCAACTTATGAAATTCCATACATTGAGATTGTTATCATGATATCTCAAGAACCACTGGAGATTTAAACTTCAAACTTAATGATAGTGTGTATCACCATAGGAAGACAATCTGATTAGATTTTGGAGCACGTAGGTCAAAGTTCAAGGGTCACAGAGGTCAACTTATGAAATTCCATACATTGAGATCGTTATCGCGATATCTCAAGAACCACTGGAGAATTTTCACTTCAAACTTAATGATAGTATGTATCACCATATCATAATATCTCAAGAACCACTGGAGATTTAAACTTCAAACTTAATGATAGTGTGTATCACCATAGGAAGACAATCTGATTAGATTTTGGAGCACGTAGGTCAAAGGTCAAGGGTCACAGAGGTCAACTTATGAAATTCCATACATTGAGATTGTTATCATGATATCTCAAGAACCACTGGAGATTTAAACTCCAAACTTGTTTAAATTGCTCTATGGCGGAGGCATCATTTTCGACTGCGCGCAGTCAAAATTCCATCTAGTTAAATTCTGTTTTGAGGGATTCCTAATCTTCGCAGTGAAAGAATGGCAGGTACATGATATTAATTTTGATATATTCATGTTTATTGCTGCTTTTGTGCTTTTGTTAGAATATATGTCTGGTTAATGGCAGCTCTGTTTTTAAGTTAATTTAATTAATTCTTCACCTGGTTTAATGAAATTTCTTCTGCTCATCCAGCCGACATGTCTTCTTTGTAAAGAGATTGCCATGTATGCGTGTGTGTTACTAAAACAATTTTGCTAGCCAATGAACAGCTAGGTTAAATTATCAGGACATGAAAAATAGTGTTTGACAGTCCTCAAATTACCTTCTTCGCACTAGGCTAAGAGCACAATTTATCTCATAACCTTCTAAAATTTGACTAAGCTAGTGAACCAATTTGTGGAGACACGATGGCTCAGTGGGAGAGCAGTGGTCTCATAACCAGGAGATCCAGGTTTGAAACCAAGTCAATGCGCAGGTGCCCTTTGGTAAGGCATTAATCCTCATCAAGTTCGTCAGATAGAGGACATAAAGCTGTAGGTCCCTTGGTTGGTTATTTACAAGCATACATACATTTTTAGCAGCCAGGTTGAAAATAAACCAACAACAATATTTGTATTTGCCCATGGATACAGGTGTTTGCAACACGAATGCCTGGCAACCGGAGATTCAGGAACAGTAGAGGGAGGTCTGACCATAGATGATGATAACTTGACCGTCTGGGTGGACAACATGACCAAGGTCCTAGTGACCTGTGATGGGGTCTCCGTCCAGGAGGTGGATGGAGGAAACTGGATGGAACAGCCTGATGGTAGATTGGCTTTCCAGAGGGGGTTGACTGAGAAGGAGAAGAGCCCAGGACTGAAGGTTTATCGAGCATTTGCTGTACTGAAAGACAAAAGTGAGTCAAATATGCTATTCAATCATTAGCATAGCAGCAAGTGGCTAGTTCTTATTAGTGCCATAATCATCATTAATTTTCTCTCGTTTGAAAGTTTAATATAAATCTTAAAATGTAAAATTAATTTGTATGTTAATACCTTTTTTCATTACTATCAGATGAAGGTGAAGTATCTATTGAACTAGATGGATCCCCTCAATTTGTATTTTAATACTTTAATCAACCTCTCTCTCAGATGGAGCTGATGTATCTGTTGAACTGGGGGTATTCCTCTCAATTTGTATTTTAATACGTCTCTCCCTGTATCTCAGATGGAGCTGATGTATCTATTGAACTAGGGTATTCCTCTCAATTTGTATTTTAATACGTCTCTCCCTGTATCTCAGATGGAGCTGATGTATCTATTGAACTAGGGTATTCCTCTCAATTTGTAGTTTAATACGTCTCTCCCTGTATCTCAGATGGAGCTGATGTATCTATTGAACTAGGGTATTCCTCTCAATTTGTAGTTTAATACGTCTCTCCCTGTATCTCAGATGGAGCTGATGTATCTATTGAACTAGGGTATTCCTCTCAATTTGTATTTTAATACGTCTCTCCCTGTATCTCAGATGGAGCTGATGTATCTATTGAACTAGGGTATTCCTCTCAATTTGTATTTTAATACGTCTCTCCCTGTATCTCAGATGGAGCTGATGTATCTATTGAACTAGGGTATTCCTCTCAATTTGTAGTTTAATACGTCTCTCCCTGTATCTCAGATGGAGCTGATGTATCTATCGAACTGGGGGGTTCCCCTCATCAGGTGATCAAGCAACCTCCTGGGGTAGCCTATGCTCTCAACTGTGGTGGTCCAGCCTACGAGGCTCTCAATGGCGCTGTTTTCGATAATACGCAGTCTCAGTATGAATATATTGGCGAAAACGAGACTGGCGGTAAGTGAAATAGATTTCAGAAATAAAATTGCAGGGTAATGTTGCCTGAAAATCAGAATTTAAAGAAAAATTCAAAATCAAATCATACTTGGTTGTATGACACTTGTTCCTGTAATAAGTGCTCCTAGTCAATATCCCACACTAAACAAATTCTTAAAGGTAAAGATCAGTTCTTGTCATGCGATTGCATCAGAAAAGGTTGATCATCTAGCATAGTATTGGTGTGTACTGCAAGGTTCTGGAATCATCAAAATGATAAGAAATTTGGCCCAGTCTTGGTCAAGTTACAAGCACTGTACACAGAAAGATGTATATGGAACTATGTGACACGTGCGCGACACGTGCGTTATATCTATCAGGTCCAAATAGATATAATGTTTTACCAAATATATCAATTAGTAGGCCGGTTTCTCAGCAAAATTTGTGTCATCACGTATTAGTCAAAACATATTCTTTCACATGATTGGTAATAAAAGCTTCCATTTCATTTTTTGAGAGGGGAGGGGGGGGGGTGCGTTTCCAAAACTGGTCTTTACCTTTAATCTATTCAGAGGAAGAAGGGCATTGACCCTGAGTTAAAGTTTATGAGTTAAGCTCCCTTCTGCCTCCAAACAGACAATTTCTTTTAAGAAGTTTGTTAAGAGAACAATTTTCTTTAGTACATAACATTAGGTCTATTGACTGCTTCAAATGAAGAAACACATGACGAAATCTCGTTGTTTAAATTTGAAACCTCCATTTGACTTTTCACCACTTCTAGAGCTATAAGCCTAAAGAAAACACTAGCGCTATACAATGTAATCCCCCTGCCGATATCTTGTCTACCTTGCCGGTGTGATAGAAAGGGAGAGAGAGAGAGATAATCATGATAAAGGGAGAGAGGAAGGGAGAAAGATTGCTTTGTTTTACAGTTAAAATTGTTGTTATATCGCCAATTCTGGGTCATTTTGCTTTGTTCAAACTTTCATTTTGGTCTTCATCAAAATTATGAGTTACTTTTGGACATGAAAATATCTTAAAACAGGTAAAATATATTTCTTCCTTCTCATTTCCTTTCAGGCAGAGCCCCAGTAAGAGTTAGTTTACACTATAATACATAAGATGATGAAGAGTATATACAGCTGCAATCCAATATCTTAATCTCTCACATAGAGCTGCAAGGCTCTGTCCAAGTTTTAACGAGAGAGAAACGAAATGGGGATCGTGATACCCCACCTGAATTACATTGGTTCCTGAGTTATAGTCGATGGGTATGTTTTTAATGAGAGCTTTTCGTAATGAGTTCAAGGAATACATTATTATAATTCATACTTTATCACTTGCTTTTATTTTCTTCTGAAGGTCTGGATTGTATGAACAAGTTCGGCTCTTGTACACCTCAAAATCGCAACCTTTATTCGCTGTTGGGAGGTACATACGACTCCTATCTCATCAGCACGCACAACCGCACACACAATGGTTTTGTGAATCGCATAGAATTTCCCGTGAGTACAATTAATCCCAAAACAGTTTGTTTCCTAATGAGGGGGACAATTTATAGGAGGACCAACACATGCTTTGCTCTGAATATTTAGCTTTCTTGTCATTTATTTTATTTTTATTTTATTTTTTATCTTTAAAAAAAAAATTTTAATCATTTTTTTTAATTAACTTTTTTATATTCAATTTTTATTCCATCTTATTTTGTTATCTTCCCCCTTTTATCATGTGCAATATTCTATGAATAGAATTTTTAATTATGTACTGGGAGTAGAATGTGTGGGGGCACATGCTTCCGAGCAACAGTGATGAACTTCACTTTTGTGCACCCTGACCCACTTGCTGCTCCCTTATCTCTTTGCATGTGTTTGTTCATTCTTATTATGTACTTGTCTCTTGCCATGCTGTATTGTATTTGTGCTTTTTATATGTCAAATAAATAATGATAATAATAATGGGCCGCGTATTATAAAGAGTGATGATTGATCTAAAGTTTGATCAATACACGATGAGCCATAGGCTTACGCTCAATATTAACTTTTCGATCAATCAAAAGGTTTTATAATACATGACCCTGCTCTCATAAGTATTACTTGGTGTTAAAGTGACCTGTGGGTATAGGACCAGACATACACATTCAGAGCATTTGTTGTATCAATCCCTTGAAATGGTTGAACCTTTACATGAATCTATACAACAACACCAACAGCAAAACCCATAATGTACTCAAATGAGAACATAAATATTCTTGTGTGCATACGGACAAGAACAAAAATACCCCCTCCCAAATCGAAACAAAACTAAAAGATTATTGACTTTTTCTTTTGGGGGGGGATCATAGCTAGGTTAAATCAGGCTTAATTTAGTCCATTTAAATTATGTAGTGCCAAGTTGCAATTCATTCCATACACAATCATTGTAAATCTGTAAAAATAAATTTACAACATTTATTATGTCATGAAATAAAAATGCTGTTGTATTGAAGTCATTATGCCATATGACTGTACTTGTTACTTTGATGACATGATTATGGTGAATATTATGCAATCAAGAGGTTCATTTGCTGCTCTATTAATCAGGGGACGTAGACTCTACTTCTAGCTGGATTGAATTCATGTGTTTTTATGAATAACGATTATAAGAATTCATGTGTTTTTATGAATAACGATTATAACTGATTAGGTACCACAAAACAATATAATTGTTTCTCAAAGTTGTTTATGTTTGATATGTCTCTTCTGGTTGATGTTTACAGATGCAATCAATGCCAGCAGGAGATTACATGTTACGCTTGTACTCTGTCGGAGCAGATTTGGCAAAAAGTTTCATACATGATGATGATGTAGACTACACTCGTCCGGTAAGTCTATAAAAATCTTCTATTGTCCGTCTGTCTATTAAAGGTAATACAAAGTTTTGGGAAATTTTGAAAATTGGATGGATAGTAATTCTAAAATTTTGATATGTTTGGATGCCCCTGTTGTAGTAGTAGTAGTAGAAGTAGTAGTAGTAGTATTAGTAGTAGTAGTAGTAGTAGTAGTAGTAGTAGTAGTGATAGTAGTAATAGATTAATAGTAGTAGTGATAGTAGTAGTACTAGTAATAGTAGTAGTAGTCGTCGTAGTAGTACAAGTAGTAGTAGTAGTAGATGTTGTTGTTTTGAAAATAGTAGCTTGTTTAAATGAAGTGGCGCATCTTATAAGTGGTAAGATTAAGATCTGTAAACATGCATTCTTCTTTATTTCCATGTTCATTTCATGCAGCTACTAGATCAGTTGAAGAGTGAAGGCCATGTACATGCAGTAGGAACCATAGCAAAGACATGTGAAGTACCAATCAAAGTTGAACCTGGTGGCACCACAATCGGTTTTGATACAAGTGAGTTGTATTAAGCTTTATTAGTAAATAAGCGAGAGAGAGAGAGAGAGAGAGAGGGGAAGAAAGAGGGAGAAAGAGAAACATAGAAAGAGAGGAGAGGAGAAGAGAGAGAGAGAGAGAGAAAGATAGAGATAAAGAGAAAGATAGAGAGAAAGATCACGAGAAAGATAGAGAAACGGACAGACATCAAATATAGCCACCAAATATTCCTATTTTGGAGGGATGCATGGTCCTATTTTAGGGCCTGTAAGCTCATACATGTATTACTAGATTCTTTTCTTTTTATGAAAACTTTGATATAAACGTATACAATGTAAAAGGTATTCCTAATTTTGCCTTACGGATTCCTAATCTTTGCTGTTGAATGGAAGGTTATGAATCAAATAGATTATATACCGGTAAAACTTTGCAATTGATTCTGATTAAATTCAAATGGATTTTTTTTTTTCTTCTTTCATTTTCATAACTACACTGATAGATGGCGGTGATGTCTGCGTTTCTGGAATCCTGGTGTATGATAAGGATTTCAAGGAGCCAACTCTTACTCCTGAAGAGAAACAGAATGAAACCAAGATCCAGCAAGAGGTACTTTTAAAGAGAAGGTTGAGTTCTGGGAAGAGGCTAGCTGCACAACTCTTAACAAACCACACACACGCCCGTCCTTGTCACCCCTCCCCCTCCAACAACAAAAAATACTTATAAAAGCAAAAAAAGGATATCATATTTCCAGGTACCGGTACATTTTGGCTCTGAGATTTAAGGGGGGTGTAAACATTAAATTAGGTTCATATTAAGTGCATTTGTACTCATAGTGTGTACGAATGGGTTTTAAGGGGGGAATGAGGTACAGGCTACCCCCCCCCCCTATTCCACTAGTGATACATGGTACTTTCCTACATGTGAGTGTAGTTTAACCATAGACGTAATAGAAATGGACTTTTGACGGCAAGAGTAGTAAAAGTAATGATAGCTACCACCTGTTCTTATGTCTTACTTTCTTCTATGTTTTAAGTCTGACCGCAACGCTGCGGGCATGTTTTGATAAGCTCCGATAAGGGTCCTTTGGTCCTATGAGATCCACCGGGATTTTGCCGACCTCTATCGGCCAAGTCGCTTCGCACTGACCAATGCTTCCCACGATTTGCGCTTCTCATTTCATGAATGAATCGTGACAGGAGAGCCTTCTGCCCATGCGCAGCTAAATACTACGTTAATAATGCCCCGGATGTAAACATGAGGTTTACGTCCTGTTCATGCTCGCCAATCTGTAAAAAAAGCCGTTGAAATCGGTGATTTCTTCGATTTTTTACGAATTTGTGTTGGTGTGTAGCAAACTCATCATATCAGCAAGGAAAGTTACCACAAGAGCTTACAAAATACAGTTTAAAAAGTGTTTTTTTCTCCTGTTTCCGTTAATTTCTCTGTGAAACCAACGACGTTGTGGTGATCACAAATCCTTCGCTGGTCGAATACAATCATTCGTTATTTGTTGCGTTTGCGTGCGTTTTTTTTATAGGCATTGGAAGAATGGGGTTGTTTTCGTGAGTGCTCAGAAAATCTGTGGTAATGCGTGACTTCTTCGCATCATGACCACTAAATTGCCGTGCCTTTGTCTAATCCAAATTGCACACGTAGTCCCATTGATAGAGATCGGCGGGTGCATGTTTTTTTCAAGTTATATTTTGGACTTGTTAATCCGAGAGTGACTGCTTTTTTTTTTCTTCCCTCAGATTTTATCTTATTTTATCTTGATGTAGGCCTACTATAAATTATGTGTACGTTTTTTTTGAGAATCTAGGAATTAGGATAAATATCTGTGTCCGTAAATTTGGGAATTGACCATTACAAAATATTCAACATTTCCGTCGTCTGCTATGTCGATATAATTATGGACTGCCCATCATAATCATAAAGTTCTTCCTTATTTATGTCATCTAATGATAATCCTGCCCTTCTAATTACTTTATAAACAACACATGACTCATGAGTACGAGAAAAATATGTATTATGGAACAATACACACATCGAAATAAATAATAATTGTTAGTATAAATACAACGCTGAAAACAATAACAATAATATCGTCAGGCACAAAGACGAAAACATGTTCGCTACGACCGCATGGCGGAGAGCGCTCATACTATTTAACACTAGGTTCTCAACGATTTGAAGGAGCAGCGAACAACCCCAAATCGCGAGCTTGCTGTTGCGATTATGAAAGATTGCGCAAGTGATCGCATCCAGCTGTCGGGTTGCGGTGGGACCACCGCTGGGTTTTTGCATCGGCGCGAAATTTAAACCTTGCCGGTGGAACTCATAGGATCAAAGAAACTGCTTCGTCGATAGTCCATTCTATTACGTCTATGGTTTAACCTATTATGTCAGATCGTGATTTTTAAATTGGTTTGAAAAAGAGAATGGGATATGGTAGATTCTTGAATCATGAATTATGAACATCAGCTCTATTTCCTATGCTTATTTTCTTTCTGTTTTTGTTTCTGTATTTCACTGTCCTTCTATTTTGACACCCTGTTTCTGAATTTTCTCTCTCTATCTCTCTATCTCTCTCTCTCTCTATTTCTCTTTGTCTCTCTTTTTATTTCACTCTCATATTCTGTCTTTCATTGTCCTTCTATTTTGACACCCTGTTTCTGAATTTTCTCTCTCTATCTCTCTATCTCTCTCTCTCTCTATTTCTCTTTGTCTCTCTTTTTATTTCGCTCTCATATTCTGTCTTTCATTGTCCTTCTATTTTGACACCCTGTTTCTGAATTTTCTCTCTCTATCTCTATATCTCTCTCTCTATTTCTCTTTGTCTCTCTTTTTATTTCGCTCTCATATTCTGTCTTTCATTGTCCTTCTATTTTGACACCCTGTTTCTGAATTTTCTCTCTCTATCTCTCTATCTCTCTCTCTCTCTCTCTCTATTTCTCTTTGTCTCTCTTTTTATTTCACTCTCATATTCTGTCATTCTTTGTCCTTCTATTTTGACACCCTGTTTCTGAATTTTCTATCTCTCTCTCTTTGTCTCTCTTTTTCTTTCGCTCTCATATTCTGTCTTGTATTCTTCATCATGCTACATGCATTGACCCATGCACTGACCGTGTCATTTTATCGTTCCAGTTTCTTCTTGAAGGCAGATTTTTTCTTTTCTTTCTTTTCATTTAATAATAGGAATAAATGATAATAATAAGAATAAAAATGAATTCATAAAGCACAAACCTGATGCAAATATATATTTCTGCACCGCTAGAGATCCTGATGTGCCTAAAATAATACAACATAAAAATATATAAGATGTTAACTAAATGCTCATTCTGATTTGCTTCATTTAATTTTCTTCCGTATGCTCGATCTCTCCGTGTATTCAGCTTGCTGATAAGTTGCTGCCGTTGAATCGTACATTCTCTCTGAAGGAGATGAAGATTGCCGGCTGGTCTCAAAACCTCATCGAAAATGCATCAGGCGAGGTAAGTTTTTTTTTTTTTTTTTTTTTTTTTTGGGGGGGGGTTGTTGTCGTTGTGTTGTGCCCCAAGGGAGAAGGTGACAAACTGGAGAGTTATCCGCAACTACGTCACAAGCCGCTGACCGAAGTGCCAATTTGAGATTCGCATAAACTTAGTGATCTCATATTTCAAACATTCATAAATTTCTTTAATATTATTGGTCCGATTCGTTTCAAACTTTCACCATTCTTTTTATCTTATTTTTCTGCTTTCCTACAAATGAAGTTATTGTAGGTAGGGGTTGGATTGCCCTTTAATGGATTTTTTATCAATCTTTTAATCCTATAAATTACTCCTGTTAGCAGCATTGGTCAAGTTCAAATGGTTTATTTCTTGTGCAGTTCATATGCTTTTTCTATTTTGTTTGTGAGTGTTAAGAAATTATTGGCTGGTATTCATAATGGCAGATTAATTTATAAACCTGGTTTAATCTGGTTTTACCCTGACCCTAGCCCTGACCCTACCTCGTACCTAAAGTCTAACTCAAACTCTAACACTAACTCTGACCCTAACTCTAAACTTAACTCTAACACTAACTCTGACTCTAACTCTCACCCTGACTCTAACCCTATAATTAACCCTAGCCCTAGCCTTAGCCTTAACCCTAACCCCTATCCCTATCGCTCGTATATTGTACTAATGCTTGGTGCTTTATGCAGCGATTAACTCTCTATTCGCCATGGATCTAAATCCGGCGGGGCATTTCACCAACTTGTCATCAGTGACAAATGACAGTTTTTGTTATAAGCTACTAAAATCGTTGCTTCTGATTGGTTATCAGCACATTTGTCATTGATTTTCATCATTTGTCATTGAAAAAAGGCTTGGTGAAACTCCCCCCTTGACTTGTTTGGAGTGCATCATACACACACACTTAAACAGGATATTTAGTTGGTTTCAGAAAAACACCAGTTGGCACACTGTGGCGTACCTCGCGAGCTCCTCTCCAATTTGCTCTGTGTAGAAAATTTCATGAACTTTCATTTTCTTGGTTATTGATAATGGAATAGATTTATTTCATACAGGGGTGGTATAAAAACAAATTTGCAATAAATGTATTTAGGGTGAATGTGTGATTGATAATTTTTTTAAAGAATTTTTTGTTTGTTTTTGTTTTGTTAGTACTGGGCAGATGGAAGGGGACCTCACAAGATATGTCACAGAGTTGCCAATTTGTGTTTGCCTGATCGCACCTTCAAAAATTGATAACTTTCTTATGTTAAATCAGTTTTTGCTCAAACTTTTACTGATCTATTCCTCTCATTTTTCTGCTTCTATTAAAACCAGCTTAATATTAGGGTGGGCTTCCCCTTTAAAACGATGTGTGCAAAATGTTGACTGCGGCAGTTCTTCTTTGTTCTATTACTTGATCAAAGCCAGTAAAGAGTTAAAGTACACCACTCATTTTACTCACTTTACTAAAAAATAGTTTGTATAAAGTTTGAATTTATCAAATCAACCTTTAAAATTAAAATATAACCTAACATTCTATAGGTTAACCGTTAAGAAGTATGAAGAAATAAAAAATAAAATAAATAGGGCATCCGCTGAATTCAATTCGGACTTGGGTGCTGTGCATGCCCTATTCTACTGCAAGCACTAGCGGTATCTCTTCATAGAAGAAATATATGAAGCTCATATTTTGCTTATACAGTAGTTTAGGAAGAAAAGGGTACCCCTTATAATCCATTGACTCCTGGAACCAGGTGGCTCCTATATTAAAGAGAAGGTTGAGTTCTGGGAAGAGGTGAAAAATAATTTGTGAACTTTATCATTCTTATTATGCAAGTGTGGAAGAACATCAGATAACACATGTTCCCTGAAAAGCATGGCTCTTCAAATGCCTTCATATTCTAAATATGTCATGTAACATCGTAAAACTCGGGGGTAGGTTTTTTACGCCACGTGTTCGTGTAGTCCCATATACATCTTTCTGTGTACAGTGTTTGTCAATTCCACACCGTTTCTTTCACAATGCAATCGCATGACCAGAACTCAACTTCATCTTTAAGCCGATGGGAAATAAGCAATTCAGTATTCAACGGGTTAAGCGGTGCAAAATCTTTTTCTGGTGATTGGTTCACTCTGAGTCATATGAACATAGGGTTGTTGGAATTGCAGTGTTACTTCTCTTGTTTGATATTGACCTTGATTGCAATAGAACGGTGACATGACGCACTGGAACTATGGTGGAAATTTCAAAGTTTGTGATGGTGGTGATGGCACGGAGAAGAGTGAGTACAGGTCCCGGTTTCACATAACTCTATGTCATTAACAAGATGCAATAACTGTTATAAGCTACTCAAATAGTGGCATCTTATTGGCTGAGAGCTAATTTGTCGTAGATTTGTTTTCATTTTTTATTGATAACAAGTTTTATGAAACAGGACCCAGGTCCCCGTTTCATATAACTTTCTTTCTATCAATAACAAGATGCAATAACTGTTATACGCTACTGAAATAGTGGCATCTGATTGGTTGAGAGCTAATTTGTCATAGAAATGTATAATTTTTTTTTTATTGATAACAAGTTTTATGAGACAGAGTTCAGTTCCTTATTTCATATAACCTTATGTTAATAACAAGATGCAATAACTGTTATAAGCTACTGAAATAGTGGCATCTGATTGGTTGAGAGCTAATTTGTCATAGAAATGTATAATTTTTTTTTATTGATAACAAGTTTTATGAGACAGGGTTCAGTTCCTTATTTCATATAACCTTATGTTAATAACAAGATGCAATAACTGTTATAAGCTACTGAAATAGTGGCATCTGATTGGTCGAGAGCTAATTTGTCATAGAAATGTATAATTTTTTTTTATTGATAACAAGTTTTATGAAACAGGGTTCAGTTCCTTATTTCATATAACCTTATGTTAATAACAAGATGCAATAACTGTTATAAGCTACTGAAATATTGGCAATTGAATGGTTGTGAACAAATTTTATCCTGAAATGTGACAGTTGTTCTTGATGAAATGGGCGTATTAATTTGTATTCTTTTATTTATTATCAAATGCAGAGTTTGTAACGTCATATGTGACATGCACCAAATCTCAGGACATCGTTCTGACTCAGCATTTCTCAGAAAAACATCTGGACACAGCCCCAGAGATTCAGGTATTATCATCTTCATTATCATCACATCATCATCATCATCATCATCACCATCATCAACATCATCATGATCATCATCATTATTATCACCAATATTATTATAATCATCATCATTGAAATCGTAATAATGATAATAATAATAATAACAATATTTATAAAGCGCAACATATCCATCTCTAGAGATGCTCAAGGCGCATACAAATAATTTAAATTAATATTCAATATACTTTAGATTAAAGAAATATTAAATGGTAACTTGCATTAGATAACAAAACTTCATGGTGCCATGGTACATACAATGTGGCACAGTATGATTGTTTGTTTTGCATGTATTGTATAAAAAGAACATTGAAATTTAACAATAAGCATTGAGCATCAGGTGAGTTTTAAGCCCAGTTTTGAAGGTAGAAAGAGTGTTGGCCGTCTGAATAGAGAAAGGTAATTTATTCCACAAAGAAGGAGCTGCTGATGCAAATGCTCTATCCCCCCCCCCCCCCCCAATTTATTTTGGTACATATTTCTTTAAGCCTAATATTATGTGATGAACGTAAACCAGAACGACCTGCAGAGTGGGGTGACAGAAGGGATGAAATATATTCTGGAGCTAGATCATTTAGTGCACGATAGCTAAAGAGTAGAATTTTATAGATCACACGCTATTGTAATCATTGTTATCAGTCATAATCATCATCATTATCTTGTTATTGCAATCAACATCAAACTTATCATCAACATTATCATCGTCATCATTGCCATCATCATCATTATCATCATCATTATCATCATCATCATCATCATCATCATCATCATTATCATCATCATCACCATTATCATTCCAAGATTCATCCTGATAATCATCATTATCTGCATCATAGCCAAAAGTTCTGGCTTTAAAGGCCCACTGCACTACTTGTAGCTACTTCACCCTCTCTTTATTAAACAATGCCTAAGCGGTGACCGTTGGTCCCCAATGATCCTCTTTTTCTTATGCAAACTGAGAGCTGAGTTGATGAGATAACCACCTGTCCTGTGACCTTGCAGAGCGGTCTAATCCCTCCTGTAAACTAGTACTGATAAGCTTTAAACTAAATGTTTCATTCACATTATTTGTACTTGTATACATATTGCGTCTTGCAGGTTTAATAGTCAGAGCTTGAATTTCTTTCCTTTTTCCCTTCAGGCATCTGAATCTTTCCATGAGGGTTCCTGTAAAGGAGGCTTCTACACCTTCACGGTGTCCCTCCTCGATGCAAGTGACAACGTGATTGCCAAACAGACGACTGGACGTAAAGGTAGCATCACTACTCCGGGATGGATCAGGGAGAGCTTTACTTTCAAGGGCTACGGACCAGGAGTTAGAACCGTCAACTTTCAGAGCTCTGGTAGGTTCAGATTGCATCAAATTTTGTCTTAAATCAATCTTGCACTATGACCTATTTGATGTCCTCATCGGTTGAATTCCAAATTGGAGGGGGGAACTAGTCTGTAAAAAATCTGTTAATTTTCAGAGCTTTTTTATGCCTCCGCCACCGAAGGTGGTGCCGGAGGCATCATGTTTTCGGGTTGTCCGTCCGTACGTCCGTACGTCCGTACGTCCGTCCGTACGTCCGTCCGTCCGTACGTCCGTCCGTCCGTCCCGTTTGACCGTTATCACAATATCTCAAGAACCATTTAAGATTTAAACTTAAAACTCAGGAATAGTATTTATCACCATAGGAAGACGATCTGATTAGATTTTGGAGTACGTAGGTCAAAGGTCACAGGTCACAGAGGTCAACTTATGAAATTCCTTGTATTGAGTTTGTTAGCGCGATATCTCAAGAACCATTTGAGATTTAAACTTCAAACTTAAGGATAGTATGTATCACCATAGGAAGACGATCTGATTAGATTTTGGAGCACGTATGTCAAAGGTCAAGGGTCACAGAGGTCAACTTATGAAATTCCATACATTGAGATTGTTATCATGATATCTCAAGAACCACTGGAGATTTAAACTTCAAACTTAGTGATAGTGTGTATCACTATAGGAAAACAATCTGATTAGATTTTGAAGCACGTATGTCAAAGGTCAAGGGTCACAGAGGTCAACTTATGAAATTCCATACATTGAGATTGTTATCATGATATCTCAAGAACCACTGGAGATTTAAACTTCAAACTTAGTGATAGTGTGTATCACTATAGGAAAACAATCTGATTAGATTTTGGAGCACGTAGGTCAAAGGTCAAGGGTCACAGAGGTCAACTTATGAAATTCCATACATTGAGATTGTTATCATAATATCTCAAGAACCACTAGAGATTTAAACTTCAAACTTAATGATAGTGTGTATCACCATAGGAAGACAATCTGATTAGATTTTGGAGCACGTAGGTCAAAGGTCAAGGGTCACAGAGGTCAACTTATGAAATTCCATACATTGAGATTGTTATCATGATATCTCAAGAACCACTGGAGATTTAAACTCCAAACTTGTTTAAATTGCTCTATTGCGGAGGCATCATTTTCGACTGCGCGCAGTCAAAATTCCATCTAGTTTAAAGATAGTTCGTACTGACTCTTTAAAAAAAAAAATCCTTCATCATGAACTTTTTATGGCCTAACCTGTTGACTTCTGAATGGTGAGGGGGTGGGGGGGGGGGGCATAAGTAAAAGAATTGTTTGAAGGTTTCCACAGTTTGTGTTTATATATTATTTTGTCTTAAGAATCTGTGTATGGCGTTTTAGAGGAATACAGACAAATTAGAATAGAATGAGAGGGAAGGCAAAAGAGGACGTTGGAATGGAATTCAATTTTATTCAATTTTTTTCAAATCCATTTTTTCATAAACCTTGTTTTTTTCAAAATATGATTCCTCCCTTTTCATTTTTTGGGAACTAGGTCAAGATGATAAGGGCTGGGCGGGGCACTTTGGGATCGTCATGTCCGCTGGTGCGTTGCGTGTCATGAGTGAAGTCAGCCCGGCAAGCGGAGATGAATATTCAGACGTCGAGACGAGTACAGCAGAAGAACGGAAACAAGGGATCGCTTCTTTCTTGAGTCAGCTCCAAGAGGAGTACCGTGACGCTTTGAAGCCTATAGCTATGCTAATGCAGTCTTCTGCTGATAAAACAAAAGGTAAGCATCTAAGAGCTGAGAGAATAGTAAAGGGCATCAAACTTCCCATCCCATGAAATGATTTTCTTCATTATTATGAGATTATATATTGATTTGATAGTGTATAAATCGTATCAATATGGACAAGGGAATAGAAATAAGGTCTCCATATTTCCTGTATTTGTATCTCAGAGTTTCCTCTGCGACATTTATATTATCTAGTAAATCGGCTTTAAAATCAGACCACTATTATATAATATGTGTAAAGAAGAGGGAAAGATGAATTCAGGCTTACACATCATTTCGCTATATATATATATATATATATATATACATAGTATATGCATCTTCATAATTATTTTAATATTTGAAGAAACATCAAGTTGAATACAAATCAAAGTTTGTTATTCCATTTTTTTCACCTAACAATAAAGCTGCTGCAAAAGTAACTGCCAATCCAGGGAACACCGAAATTACCCTCAACGTGAGAAAACAAGCAGTGAAGCGTGAGATCCGAGTCTTTGTTTCCAGTACGTTCCGAGACTTTGAGGAGGAGAGAGAGTTGATCATCAAGAAGGTGTTCCGTGAGGTCAATCGACTGTGTCTGGATCGGGGGGTCTTCTTCACCTACGTCGACCTTCGATGGGGCATCACGGAGGAGCAAACGAAAAGCGGAAGGACCATTGAGATATGTCTACGAGAGGTAACTTAATTGATTGACAAACTTGTTTCTGTTGGAAGATGAAGAGGAAGAAAGAATGTATATAGTACCTTATTCTTCATAGTTGGAGAGTCGATGTTTATGATATGAGGAATGGACGATGATGATGATGATGATGGTGATGATGATGATGATGATGATAATGATAATGATGGTGATGATGATGATGATGATGGTGATGATGATGATGATGATGATGATGAATGATGCTGCTGATGATGAATATTATGATGCTGCAGCTGGTGATGCGGATGATGAATGGACGATGATGATGATGATGATGATGATGATGATGATGAGGATGATGAATGATGCTGCTGCTGCTGATGATGATGATGATGATTATGATGCTGCAGCTGATGATGCGGATGATGATGATGATGATGCTGCTGATGCTGCTGATGATGATGATGCTGCTGCTGCTGATGATGATGATTTATGATGATAAATGAAGATGAGATAATGATGGTGATGATGATGATGGTGCTGCTGATGATGATGGTGCTGCTGATGATGATGGTGATGATGGTGATGATGATGATGATTTATAATGATAAATGAAGATGAGATAATTATGGTACTCATGATGATTGAGATGATGTTGGTGGTACTGATGATGATTAATGATGATGATGGGATGATGATGCTGATGATGATGATGATAATGATAATGATGATGATGATGATGATGATGATGCTGCTGCTGCTGATGATAACTACTCTGTAGCTGGATCACAATCTAAACAATTCTTAAACATCCATCGAGTCAAACCTGCTTCAGCAACCACCTAGCTGTCTCAAAAGACCTTATATTTTGTTTCCCTTGACCAGTGTTTTTCATCAAAACATGAAAGAAACCTGTGCCTGGCTGAAGATCATCTGCATTTAAAGCAATCTTAATCCGGTTTCAGTGAAGTAAAATGGAGTTCCAGTTGTTTGTATTATACAAATGCTTTATAATAACCCTACAGATTGACAAGTGTCGTCCGTACTTCATCTGCCTGATGGGGGATCGCTTCGGCTGGAGCCAGTCCCGAAAGTTCAAAGATGAACTCCTAGACATAAGCTATGACACGGCTGTGGATGAGTACCAACACTTCAAGTGGGTCGATGAATACCGCTTTGACTCAAGCGTCACACAGGTAAGTTCATATGTATGCGTACCTGCCAACCCTTCCGAATAATCCAGAATATTATGATTTTCTGGATTTTTAGGTCCTGAAAATTCGGAATATTCTGATTTTTCAATTTTTTTGTGTGTGTGCTAAAGCCAAATTAAGCTTGTTTTATCATTTGCCGCGATTTGAGAGTTCACGTATTGTGTGCGTTGAATAGTTGCATGATCGAGCAGCGAATTTGTGTTCGCTTTTTGGTACAGATTTACCGCATATTGCCAGTTAAACATGTAGCTGCAAGTGGGATTTCTTATTTTTGAAGGCATACCGTGCTAAAAATTCCTAATTCTTATTTTCAAATGTTGGCAGGTATGTGTGTGTTAGATCTTGGTTATCTTGGCCCAGGGGAATATAGGCTTGTTCACATATCTCGATAAACCTTGGCAGATTTTTTTCAGCATCCCTTTAAAGGATAGTTGAGTTCTGTTGCAGAGGGCGCTACACAAAATGGTTTTGTTGTGAGATAATGAAAAACTTAGTGTCAAATTTGAAAGAACATTCAATTTAAATGACAAAATCATCTCTGTTTGATCAAAATTGGTTCAGAGACAACTGAAATATCCATAAATATAACGATTTATAATACTTGTGTACCCCCACAAATATTATATAATTTGAAAAAGCCGTTGAAAAAACAAAATGGCGCCTTTTACGTCGTATTTTAGCCAATGCCGATATTGGCTTTTTTATTGGCTTTTCCGTGTTGGTTATATTACGCACAACCAGCCGGCCCATGTATTGTTTTTTTAAATTAAATAATTAACGGTCACCGAATTTTTTTTTGAAAGTGGAGCTGAATTGGTATGATCATATTGGCTAAATTTCACACATTTTGGGGTCTAAAATTACCTTCATAGCAATTTTAGGTCCTAAAAGGGCACTAAAAAATGTCATAGATAAGAATTATGGAGCAATAACCATGCACTTTGAAGGCATTTGCGGTCTGCAAACAGAACTCAACTATCCCTTTAAACGTACTGTACAGTGCATTTACGTGAGTATGAGTATAGGACCATTGTTGCACGCAGCTCCTGTTTTCATCCCCACGTGTCATTCATTTACCCAGTGCACTAACAAAAAGAGCACGGTTAACTGTGGTAATGTGAACAAGCTATAACTCGGACCCTTCCGAATAGCAATGTCAAGGTAATTAAAGGAGCTTGAATCAATTACAGATATTTTTTGAATTTTCAACCTGTTGATCTGATGAGCATGTTACTTTGAACTCCCATTTTCTAGATTACTTGAGAGGCTCTGTATGTGTGAGATATTTTACTAAAGTAGTAATCCTGAAAATTTTAAAGACATGGAATTTAAAGACATTGCACTGTTTTTTTCCTGAAAAATTGCATGTTTATTGTTCTCTGTTTTCCTCTTCTCTTTTAGCTGGAGGTGATGCATGGAGCGATCAGACCTCATGAAGAGAACAAGAAGAACAGAATCTTCTTCTATCTGCGTGAGGCGAAAGTGAAGAGAGAAGACCTGCCACCCCCTGCAGAGACTGAAGTAAGAAGATCTCTATATACATGCTCTAGCTCTCACATCCATTTGGATCTCATTCTCTTAGAGCAGAGCGCGACATAGTCGTCACTATTTCCGGCATCTTTGTTGTAGTTGTCGTTATTGTGTTCGTCGTATGTGAATGCAGATATACATGTAGATGACAAAGAAATGAATGAGTAGCAACTTTGGTTCATGCATGTATCAGAATCTCAATTACAACCGTGCAACACTGATATTAAGTCATTAGAATGCAAGTACAGTGATTGAAGAACGATACAGGAAAGACACAAATTGAGAAAGTATGATTCTCTGTTTTCCGTGATTCACAGAGATGCAAACTATCTGCAGTTTTACCTGTTCTTTGTTCCATTTTTAAGTGGGGATTTTTTTTTCTTCTCCTGTGCAGGAAGAGAGAGAGAATGTGAAAGGAGAGACTCAGTGGCATTTTGACTTACAGCAGAAGCTGAGGGCATCTATTGTGGCTTCTGGACATCCGTTGAGGAACTTTGAGGGCGCGGTTGATGCTGCGACGATGATCAGAGAGGTTGGTTTACGGAAGAACGAACCCCTGCCTTTATTAAAGTGAAAGACAAGGAAAAGATTTGGTGTGATTGTATGCCACCGGCTATATCCGTTGCTACATGTAAATATAGTATCAGAGAATAGTTTTTGGTTGTTTTTTTCTAGTTATAGACAGTGAGATACTCTTCTCCCCCACCCACCCCCCACCCCCCCCCCCTCCCTCAAAAAACAAAACATCTCAATTGTTCTGCTTATATTTAAAATGTTGTAGTAATTCACTTTAGACACCTGTGCCCTATCTTATAAAGAGTTAATATCAATCGCAATTATATGTACATAAGATATAGGAGATTGCAAACTTTTTATTGATTGATTGCAGTACTTACGATTGATTTGGATCAATCGTAACTCTTTATAAGACGGGGCCCAGAATAATGTGATAAACCAGAATTAACGACCAACATATTATGGGCAAGGACTAATTGGTAACCAGTGGCCTTCTGCACTCTCCGATGTCCCTGCATCTTCCAGTTGCAGACAAACTTACATATATGTAAACCAACAAGTAATTTAATAGATGTCCAAATAATTTTCTTAATCCTAGGATTTGGTCAAGTGCATCAACGAAGATTTCCCGCCCGGTACCAACCTGACAGCTCTACAGAGAGAGTCAGAAGCCCATGATGCCTTTGCCGACGCTAGACGACGCGTCTACATCGGACGACAGGAGTACTTTGATTACATCGACAACTACTTTGCTCAGAAACCCAAGGTAAGACTCCACATGAATCAATGCGAATGATTCTCCCCCCCCCCCCCCCCCAAAGAAATGATCTTTTTCTTTTTTACAGTGATATCATGCACATTTATTAGTCATAATTTATACATTTTAGTGATAACCTTAAAGTGTTTAATGTGTGGAAATGCTTTTCAATTCTTTATCATTTTGGTATAAATTGTTAGTATCCCTTCGTTTTGTTCCGATTTCCCCCTTTTTTGAAAGACTTACAAAACAATCAGGGGGATGTGAATAATTCTTAATCGGAATGAGGCGCTAAAGAGGTAGTTTACTAGTTTCCTATTTTCTTTCATCTCTGTAATATATCTAGGTACCTCTTACAATCATCGGTGCATCTGGATCGGGTAAATCTGCTCTCATTGCCAATTGGTGTGGCCGTTTTGAAGAGCAAAACCCAGAAACTTTCCTCTTCAAACATTTCATTGGGAGCTCAGCAGAAAGTGCATCTCATTTGAATTTATTGAGAAGGTATTGCATTTATCCTTCGTATGTATCAGTGACCTTCTCATGTTTGTATAATTCATATTTCTTTTCTACACCTATATTATTTTTATGCCTCCGTTACGAAGTAGCCGGAGGCATTATGTTTTCGGGTTGTCCGTCCGTACGTACGTCCGTACGTACGTCTGTACGTACGTACATCCCGTTCTTGTGATCGCGTTATCTGAAGAACCGATGGATGTATTCCTGCCAAACTGTGGTCATGTATGTATCTTGCAGAGCCGATGAACTGATTAGATTTTGGGGTCGCGAGGTCAAAGGTCAAAGGTCACAGGGCTCATTAGGTATGTAAAAACAGCTTGTGATCGCGTTATCTAAAGAACCGATTGATGGATTCCTGCCAAACTTTGGTTATGTATGTATCTTGCAGAGCCAATGAACTGATTAGATTTTGGGGTCACGAGGTTAAAGGTCAAAGGTCACAGGGCTCATTATGTATGCAAAAACAGCTCGTGATCGCGTTATCTCAAGAACTGATTGATGGATTGCTGCCAAACTTAGGTCATGTATGTTACTTGCAGAGCCAATGAACTGATTAGATTTTGGGGTCACGAGGTCAAAGGTCAAAGGCCACAGTGCACATTATGTATGCAAAAACAGCTTGTGATCGCGTTATCTCAAGAACCGATTGATGGATTCCCGCCAAACTTAGGTCACGTATGTTACTTGCAGAGCCAATGAACTGATTAGATTTAGGAGTCATGAGGTCAAAGGTCAAAGGCCACAGCGCACATTATGTATGCAAAAACAGCTCGTGATCCCGTTATCTCAAGAACCGATTGATGGAATCCTGCCAAAATTAGGTCATGTATGTTACATGCAGAGCCAATGAACTGAGTAGATTCTTGGTTCATAAGGTCAAAGGTCAAGGGCTTATTCTGTATATGAGAAATTGCTTGTTATCACGATATTCTGAGAACCTGTCAATGGATTACAATTGAAATTGAATTCGAAAAAAATTTCTTCTGTTTTGGTTTGTAAAATTGCTCTATGACGGAGGCATCATTTTCGACTGCGCGCAGTCGAATTCCATCTAGTTTATTTACATATGTGTTTTTTTATGGAATGAAATGAATAAATCTTGATTTAGACCAAGTCAAATTAGATTGAGTTTACAATAATAAGTTCAATTTGAAATACCAAAGATAATGTTGGCAAGAGTCAAAGGGGTGAGCAAAAATTTGCACAGCTATCCCTGATATGTAGCATTTTATGTCGTTTCTTGGAAATAACTTATTAAACTATACCGGACTAAGATCATAATTACTTAACCATTATGTGCCGTTGGTTCTTGTCTTTAAAATAGTAAATCATTTATTATAATTTCCTTTTTTTCAATGTTTTTATGTTATGTAAATCTATTAAATTCCTTGAATGTATCACTATAATGTATCATGGAGCTTCTTCTTACTGGATACAATATACCTGGGTGGAGAGTGGCAAATGTAGATTAACGTCTTGCTAAGGGATGACAATGCTGTGGCAGGAATTCTAACCCCTTACTCCATATCTTGTAATCTAGCTATTGTCCAATGACTGAGATGCAATTCCACAAGATATTTGATATCAAAATTCATTAATTTGTTATTAAAATTCATTTAATCATACACATTTATATATAGACTGTATGGTGAGATGAAGCAGTTCTATAACCTTGACCTGGAAATACCGACCTCTGACAGGAACCTGGTCATTGACCTCCCATCATGGCTCAGTATCGCTAGCAGCAGGTCAAAGGTCATGATTGTTCTGGATGCCTTGAATCAGTTGGACAGTGGAGCAGGAGGAAGTGGTATGTGTTAGCCAGTCATTCTGGGTCTTAAAGGGTCGCTCATTTGAGAGAACATAAGGAGTTGAGGGTGTTAAGAAGAAGAAAAAGAAGAAGAAAAAGAAGAAGAAGAAGGAGGAGGAGGAGGAGGAGGAGGAGGAGGAGGAGGAGGAAAAAAAGAAGAAGAGATGGATATTGACAGAGTGGACTGTAGGAATTGCTGAGATGGTTTCTTCACACATTCCTTGAAATTCTTGTTTCCATGTTTGTTTTATTGTTTAGGTGAGGAGAAGAGCCTGATATGGTTGCCAAAGTTGTTGCCTTGCAACCTGCAAATGCTTCTATCTACGCTTCCTGGGCAGGTATGTCATCATTGATTTATTACCAACATTTCTTTATTATTACCATGAGTTTTTATTACTCTCTAATTGTATAAGTTTAAAATCTTGAACATGCATCTCCCACCATTATAGAAAGTGCATGTTCAAAGTTTGCCCATCATAGAAGTTATATCAACTTTTTAATAGTGATTTTTTTTTAAAGTAAAATAAATGCGCTAAAGCAAGTCAACTGTAGAAACGATTGTTGAGGACTGGTGGTATAGGCATACATGTATGTGTATTTATTCACTCCTTTATTTGATGTAGTATAGATAAGCCAATGCTTAGATGACTAATTGATCCCAAAGGGACCTAATCTTGTGGTTTGATAAGGATAATAATAACTTGGTGAATCTAGGGAAGCCTCATCAGCATCAATGCTGTTCTTTCTGAGGGCCATGCAATTGCAGGTATACCCTATCACTTATGATATGAATGCTCAGCATTCAGCAATAGTGCGAGTCTTCGTGCTGGTGAAGACGCACCGAACAAATAGCGAGATATTTTGCAAACTTGCCCAAGATATCTTGGGATGATTATCTCAAGCAAATATCCCGCTGATTGCAACTTCAGGCTAATGACGACGCAAATTAACTGGATAATTTGTGATTGGAATAGTTCAAATAGCGAGATATTTGGCAATCTCAAGCTAATGAAAACAGGCCTAAATTGTCTTACTTTTTTAAATCCAGACCCAGGACGTGATTGACATGTCAGGCATGCCGACGTACAAGGTAGAAGGACTTCAAGAAAAGGAAAAGCTGGATATCATTACCGGCTACATGGACCTGTATGGAAAGACACTTAACCAAGAACAAACGGACCTCATCCTCAACGCTAAACAGAGCTCAAATCCTCTCTACCTCAAGGCTCTTTTGGATGAGGTAAGCCAACTCATATTTACGTTGTTTGAATTTATTCTTGACACTCGTAGTAATGGTGGAAGTTGTCCATCTCTATGGTTACCACTGTTAACATTCTGTTTGATAAGGGGAGTGGTTGATTTTGTTTTGAGCGTATCATTACAATAATTGCAAGTATATGTGCCCAAGATTTAATTGGCAATATTATTCTCATGACCGTACATTTACATAAACTATGTGTAGGTGATGCATCAATTGAAGTCAGTTCAATCACTTGTTAGAGTAGGCATATGCATGATGGTCACATTTTTTTCAAAAATATGCAGGTGCTAAAGACAGCAAACTGAGAAAATTCAAGAAGCCATCAGACTTTTAACCACCTTAGCATCTCCATGCAAGGCATTATGATTCCAAACAGTCTCATCTCTGTCTCTATTGCTTGAAAGTCCATACCAGTAGATATATCATGCTTTGAGTTACAAATGTGTGTTATATGTTTGCCCCTTTTTTGATCAGGTTCGTATGTACGGCAGTTTCTCCCAGCTCACTACTGCCATCAAGAGTTACTTGGCCGCAGATGATGCTGGCGCCCTCTTTGTCTTGATCCTGCAGAGGTTGGAAAGTGATTTCGAGACGGGAGCTGTGTCTAGGTGAGTGTTTCCAGTGCTGGCAGCATGCAGCAGAATGTCTACCTTACTCAAAATCAAGATCAGTTTGTTCAAGGTTTTCGAGAAATGAGATGTGTCTTGGTTTAATGGTGCTTGCACTGATGGCAGCTGTAGAATGCGTACATTACTCAAAAGCTTAATTTTTTGTTTAAATAATTTTGTTTGTGAAAGAAGCCATATCTAGGTTCGTCTTTTATGCAGCAGTAGATATCTTCATTTTCACAACATAATACTTAAATAATGTTCATAATTAATGAGCTCTGTTATGATGAGTTTAAATTTTTCAGGGAGCTAATCTGATTTGAAAATCATACAGTGGATCAGACCTTTGTGAATTTTAAGTCTACACTATAATGATAATAATAGGCATTTCTATAGCGCCGTCTATCTAGAAATTCTATTCCGAGGCGCATTTATTATTACTCCAGCTTTAGCCTAGCTGGCATTTATACAGCGCTCTAGCATTTCAAGGAATTAATTCCTGCCAGGCACCCATTTACCTCACCTGGGTCGAGTGTGGCAAATGAAGATTAATGCCTTGCCAAAGGACATAAGTGCCGTGTAGGGGATCGAACCATGACCTTTAAATTTCAAGTCAAGTGCTTAAACCGCTTGAATACGACACTACGATAGCTTTACCATGTATAGCTCAATTTTAGAACTTACAAACAAAATTGTACAAGATGCACACGTCAACAAATACTTTTCTTAGAATGACAAATACAATGTACGGCTACAACATAATACTACTGTTACATTTTTATTTCCATATTGGCACTATAATCTACAGGTCACAAGTCTTTAAATCTGTTCAATTGATGAATTATTCTTGCAAGTATTCTTTCAAAGGCATCCAAATATGCTCCATGTAAAGCCTTGGTCACAAATGCCATTACGAACTGCTACGAACGCCGTACAAACGATTTTCAGACAATGTAAATTCGGGAAGACAATGGAAAAACGGAGATTCATACGAAATTATCTTTCATACAAACCTTTGTGACCCTAGCATAACCTGCAACATCTAATAATGAGTATGACACTATACTGCTTCTTTTGGGTTAATAGTAATTGAAATATTTCATTTTAATATACTGTTGTGTTTTTTTCCCACATCTTGTTTTGTTGCTCAGACCTAATCTTGTAAGGGATACAACCACAGCCATCTGGTGTTCACACAGAGGATTGAGTGAGAATGAACTCATGACTTTGCTCAAGGTAAGAATACAATGGTGTAATAATGGTGAATGATAGTGCAATGATAAGGATTAGGATATTAGTGATGGTGGTATAGTGCTGCATTGGTAGTTGGTGTATAGATCAAGGTTTGATTACTGGTAAAAGTACAATGATAGTACTACACTGCATTAGTTCTATCCAACCGCTGCCACTAGTTGTGGCGGAAAAGGGGGGGGGGGGGGGCAGGGACTAATAATAACTGAAGAGGAAGAATATATGTATAAGAGGGAGAAATTAAGAGGGGTGATGTAATTCTAGTGAGCAAAAGGGGTTTACATATCACTTTGCCACCAAAGTCAAGTAAACATTCTCAGGATAGTATTAAAGCTGCCACCATCTAGTATTTATTAAGAGCGCTAGACTCTGTTCTTGTCACAACTGGATGATGTTGTAAAGAGACTACATGTAAATACCAGGGGGGCGTTTCACAAAACTTGTCATCGGTTACAAGTGACAGTTTTGTTATAAGCTACTGAAATCCTTGCTTCTGATTGGTTATCAGCAGATTTGTCACTGATTTTTGTCATTTGTCATTGCAAAAAGGCTTTGTGAAACACCCCCCCCCCCCCCAGACCTGCTGGATCACACAACAAACAATAATTAAATGACTTAATCATTCACAAATCACAGCCTTCTCATTGGCTCATCATTCGCACCTCTTTAATTCAACACAACGCACTCAATGGTCAACCTTTGACCTGAACCCTGGGCTCTCGTAAACATTCGCACTTGATTCAACTCAAACATTGGTGTGTTATCATTGGTGGTGACAGTGCAGAGAATAGCCATTCTGACATGCTTTCAATGGTGTGACTTGCAAGAAGAGATGTTGAAAATATGATCAAGCTTGTGGAATGATGATGATGGTGATGATGATGATGATGATGATGGAGATGATGATGGTAGCACCAGTGTTTTGGAAGGTTCGCGTTTGTGCAAGTTTAATTAGTTCTTTGGAAATTCTAGGATAGATATCTTAGAGGCAAGAAATTTGCATTACCATATAATTGTTGTGTACTGCAAGGTTCTGGAATCATCAAAATGATAAGAAATTTGGCCCAGTCTCGGTAAAGTTACAAGCACTGTACACAGAAAGATGTATGAAACTACAAAAACATGTGGCATAAAAATCTGTCTCGATTATAGTAACATTGCATTTTGAAAATGCTTGTATTCCCTGATGCAAACAAAGTCTTGTGTTTTCTTATGATTTAATTTTCAGAGTTTAGAAGATCAGGCAGAATATGGCAAATTAAGTAGACAAATTTGGTAGAATTAGGACTGTGATAATGGAATAGACCAATTAGAAACCTAGAAAAGGTGAAAGAAACTAAAGAAAGAGAAGAAAATAATAAGGCATAGGAATAGAATTTTTAATTTAACAGTGCAATAGTTGAAATAAGGAGGAAGGATGCAAGGCTTAAAGATAAAGTTGAGTTCTGGTCAAGCGATTGCATTGTGGAATTGGTCAGAAAAGGTTGATCATCTAGCATATAAGTATTGTTGTGTACTGCAAGGTTCTGGAATCATCAAAATGATAAGAAATATTTGGCCCAGTCTTGGTAAAGCTACAAGCACTGTACTCGGAAAGATGTATGGAACTACACGTACATGTGGCATAAAAATCTGTCTCGATTTTTATGATATTACATATGCCATAGTTAGAATATTAAGGTATTTAAGAGCCCTGCTTTTCAGGGACATTTTTCATTTAATGTTCTTCCACACTTACAAAATACAATGATAACGCTCACAAATTATATTTCACCTTTTCCCAGAACTCAACCTTCTCTTTAACTCATATCCTTCCATAAGCTACCGTTAAAGTGCTTTGTACATGCGAGCACGCTATCGATTGGCTGCTTAATTCACGCGAGCGAGCCATAGCTTAGCTGCTTTAAGCATGCATGCTCGCATTCGTAATAGCAGTTATTGTTCGTGCTCATTGTACTGTGCTGAGTGCCTCGCACGCGCTATTGATCCCACCATTAGATTATCAGATTATCTCAAAATAAACTTGTCACAGGGGGATTTGTGGCTTGGCACAATGGGGATTAGCCCTGTCTGTATTCATTACAGCAGGATAAGAGTTCATCATCAATCATGGAATTTGTCACTCCACAGGTACCAAGCGCAGTCTGGTCTCCTTTCTACCTCTCCCTGGAGGAGAATCTCATCAATCGCAACGGACTGCTGAATTTCTTCCACGATCATCTCAGACAAGCCGTTGAGAGTCGCTACCTGCCCACAGATGAGGACAAGCGCAAGAACTATGTGGAGCTGGCAAACTTCTTCAATGCACAGGATATCGATGATAGATATGTAAGTTTTCCTTTAATTTTCAAACCGTCTGTTAGCCAGCAGGTTCATGATTGATAATTATAAATTAACTTTCAAGAGTCATGATTAAGTTCTGATTCTTCTTCATTGTCATATTTGCCTAGAGTATCTTCCCTTCTAATAACTCTTTTTTAAAGAACAAAACAACTAGCTCTTCTTAGTCCAAACACATTGTACACCAGTGAAATTCCTGGTGAGAAGTTGCCAACCATGTCACAAAAGAGATAAATATCAAATTCAAGGTGTACTCATATTGAATTACAGCTTTTACCGAATTACAGAGAATTTCTTCTCTTATTTCTTTCAACAACCGATAGTGGTTTTATTCATTCTAAATAACTGGAAATTCCAAGTCTTAGAACAGTGAAAATTGTAATATTATTGAAAGTCTTTTAGTTCAAATTAGTCTTGTTGTTATGTGCTCAATGAAAGAAGCAGTAAAGGGTACCTTTCATGTCATTTTGAGCACTCTCAAACTATTGGCATGTTACTCTCTTACGCTGTAGGCTGATGAAGTGCCTTACTTATTGATTCAAGCGAGGGAGCTGACTCGGCTCAGGGCTACCGTCCTCAACGTCAACGTATTCCAGATCCTGATGAGAACGGAGGATGGAAACTTCCAGCTTATCAAGGCTTGGAGAATGGTAAGATAACTGCTGCTTTGGTTCAGAGTTTAAAGGTATTACAAAGTTTTGGTATGGGGTCATGAATTTGGTTCAAATTAACATATTGGAAGCATATGCGTTCCTACAATATACATTGATCGTTGTCGCGGTTGAAATCGAGTCTAAAGTTATGAAATTATAAATAATAAACTCTTTATGTTGTATAGCTCCCTCTCAAGGTCAAGATATTAATTTAGCTATAAAACAATGTTTCTTGACTGAAATCGACCGATTAGCTATTCCCGTTTGGAAAATATATATCCCAACTACATATTCTGAGATTTTCATAGTCGCAGCTACGATTGTACGGCCATAGGCGCTATTTGAAATTTATCAAAATTTACCGGGAGCACCGGTAAATTTTTATTTTTAATTTTTCTCGAAAACAGAAGTGTTTTAGGGGCTAATTTTTTTAGTGCTTATAATACATCCACAGGGGCATCCAAAAATATATCAAAATTGTAAAGATCCACTATCCACCCAATTTTCAAAATTTCCCAAAACTTTGTATTACCTTTAAAGCTCCTCTGCACTAGTTTTGCCAGGAGGGATTAGACCTCCCTACATGGTCACTGACAGGTGGTTATCTCATCAAATCAGCTCTCAACTATTAAACATAAGAAAAAGGGGAACATGGGGGACCAATGGTCACCGATTAGGCATTGTTTGCTATAAAGAGGGTGCTATAAATAGTGCAGTGGGGCTTTAAGTAATATTTGACTAAGAATCTCTTTCAAATGGCGTCCAAAGCTCACATTACCAAGAGTACAGTATAATAGTGAATGCATTTGATTTCAAGTTTAGTGTTAACGATGGAAGTTAGTATGAAGGAACTACAGATCATAAATTTTGCTCTTTAGTGGACATTAATTGTAACAGCCACAATTGCTTCATATACTCTTTACCAAGCATGTATTTGACTTCAAGCTGACACTGAAAAGGGTAGATCAAAACTTTTGGAGATGCAATGGCTCAGTGGTAGAGCAGTCGTCTAATAACTGTGAGGTCCCAGGGTTCGAAACCAAGTTGATGCACAAGTGCCCTTTGGGAAGGCATTAATCCTCATTACCGAGTCCGTCAGAGAGGACCTAAAGCCGTTGGTTCCCTGGTTGCTTACTTAGTCTTCTCTGAGGGACTTGATAATGAGGATTAATGCCTTACCAAAGGGCAAGAGTGCATTGACTTGGGTTTTAACCCAGGACCTCCCAGTTACGTCTTACAAGACCACTGCTCTACCACTAAGCCATCAAGCTCTTCACTATCCAGTCACTATGACTAAACTACTTTTTCATTTATTTTGCCACTCTTCATTTTTTGTTTTCATTTTTCTATCGAAGTTGGGAGGCTTTGAGCCTGTGGAGCAGGCGTATCTGGACGTCCTCTCTAGATCTGAGATCTGGGAGCAGTCAAGAGACAAGGTGGAGTTGATCAAGTCTATGGCTGTCTTCTTCATGCAGCTAGGATTACTACGAGGAGCTAGGTAGGTATACTGGACAGTGCAGTGAAGTTAAAGGAAGTTTGGTTCATATTATAGTGGTTGTTATTTTACCTGACAGCTAAGAAAGCAATAAAAGCTTGTTAGTAAGCAACCAGAAGACCGACTGCTTTAGGTCCTCTCCGAGAGACCTGGTAATGAGGATTAATGCCTTACCAAAGGGCACTAGCGCATCGCCTTGGTTTCGACACTGCGTTTAAAAAATAATTTAAAAAATGATAATGACAAAACGCTTCACAAATCCTGGAGATTATAACACAGAGCTCAATGAACACACATGAGTCCTTTAATTGTTGCTTGCAACGGTTTACCGCGTCATATCTGAATAAACCTTCACTAACACTTCTACAACTTTGAGGTAGGATCATTCGTAAAACAGATACATCTGTATATCTCTTGAATGCCTTTGCAAAAAATTTCTGCAACCGAGGTGAATATCATATTTTTATAAAGAAGCCGGAGGCATTGTGTTGTCTGTCCGTCCGTCCGTACGCATGTCCCGTTCTCGTGATCGCGTTATCTCAAGAAACAATTGATGGATTCCCTCCAAACTTGGGACATGTATGTATCTTGCAGACCCAATTAACTAATTAAATTTTGGGGTCACGAGGTCAAATGTCAAAGGATATGGGGCTCATTATGTATGCAAAAATAGCTTGTGAACGTATTATCAATAGAACCGACAGATGGATTACTATCAAACTCAAAACATGTATCTTGCAGAGCCAATGAAGTGATTCGATTTTAGGTTCCTGAGGTCAAAGATCGAAGGGTCAAACATGTTTATGAAAAATAGCTTGTAATCATATTATTCTGAGAATCTTTTAGTGGATTACAATCAAACTTGAATTTTTAAAATTGCTTCCGTTTTGGTTTGTAAACTTGCTCCATGGCGGAGACATCATTTTCGACTGCGCGCAGTCGAATGTCCGTCTAGTTGTTTTTAATCTCTCTGTTCCAAGACCATTCCTCTTAGTACCACATCTCAAATAATCTGAAATTGTTTGCCTTTTAAACAAGCAAAAATCTATAAAACACCAAGAATTTGTGCAGCTTAATTGTCATCTCTGATGTCCTTGTCTTTTTTCAGAGTCCTAAATGAGCGCTTGCTGAAGGAGCTTGAGTTGCGATACCTTGCTGAGCATTCTACCATCGTACAGCATCATTTCAACTACAGCATGAAACACAAATGTAATCATCCCACCGTCATTGATGTAAGTAAATTTACTTCAATGCAGTTCCTTTCTCTATGAATCCATTCACAGAAATTGTATGCACTAGCTATTCCTATACATTTATATTATATTTATAAAGGGTACAAGAACATAGTATTTTGCTATACCTCTGTAATATATACTTTTGATGAGAGATAAATTATGCTAAAGCTTGACTCTCCATAATTTCCTTGTAGAATACTGCTTGAATTAAGGGCATTAAGTTAATTTTAAGGTACAGACATGTGGAGAAGATTTCAACGTGGTGATATGGAGCATTGAAATAAAAATGCACTCCAAAATATAATTCACTAATTATTTCTGGAGTCTCAAATTTTATCTAGTATTAGCAGATGATTTGATATGTAAGATATTTGAAAATATGGTCAGCCTCGATTATACATCCTTGAGCTTAATTAGAAGGTTGAGTTCTGGGAAGAGGTAAAAAATAATTGGCGAGCGTTAATTATCATTGTGTTATGCAAGTATGGAAGAACATGAGATAAAAAATGTTCCCTGAAAAGCATGGCTCTTCAACTGCCTTAATATTCTAAATATGGTATGTAACATCATAATATCGGGACAGATTTTTATGCCATATGTTCGTGAAGTCCAAAATACATGTTTCTAAGTACAGTGCTTGTTACTTTAATAAGCCTGGGCCAAATTTCATATCATTTTGATGATTCCAGAACCTCGCAGTACACACCAATACTTATATGCTAGCTAGATGATCAACGTTTTCTGATCGAATCCACAACGTTTCTTTCATAATGCAATCCCATCAGGGGGGTGTTTCATGAAACAATTAGTCAGTGGTTTTTACCGACTAATATCATGTTCTCCGACAATTTAGTCAGTGCTGACTAAATTTGACCAATCACAGGCCTGGAAAATAGTCGGTGACAAAAGAATTGCTGCATCGTAATCTATGGCCAGCTATACGATCTGTTGATTGCTTTCTATCTTTGTGATGTAAAATGTCAGGTCTTGATAGAGCTTGGGAATGTCTGTCTGAAACAAGGCAAATTCAAACCTGCCGAGATGCACTTGGAAGATGCCCTCTCCAGGCTGAACAAGGTCAAGACCCCACAGCAGAAACTGCAGCTGGTCAAGGCAGTCATAACCATGGTGTGAGTATACATGATCTTCAAGCGATCGATGCTCCAGCGTTTACTTTAGCAACAATTCCTCCAGGGGAGTGTTTCACAAAGACTAAGATTGACTTTAAATTGGACTTAACTATGGCAGGCCATTTATGCCACTGTTTGCTCTCACCATTATGATCTGTAGATAATATGTTTTCCATCAATAATGAACTATCAAAACATGTTAACTCTGTAGATTTGTGACCATGATTTGTATGTCCCTTGAGAGACCAATGCAGATAAATGGCGAGAGCAAACAGTGGCATGAATGGCCTGCCATAGTTAAGTCCAACTTAAAGTCTCTCCTTAGACTCTCCAGGCGTTATTTCGTAAAAAGTATAGGGTTAGATTTGCAATTGGGTTTTAGGTTAGCTTTGGGGTGAGGATTAGGGTAGTTTATAGTGTTTAGTCCAGGGTGATCAAGTTAGGAATTCAGTTAGTGTAGGAAATTACCTCAGAATAATTGTTGCAAGAGCAACCCTTCAAAGTTTTCTATAATATATGTGCTGCTGCAAATCATGTACATTTACTTTCAAAATTGCCAGAATTTAAGTGAGGAGCAGCATTTGAATGTCTTATATACAATTCATTTACTATGAACTTCAACTAGCTGTAATCTTAAACAGCCACATAGAATTAGAAGAGCAGAAAGTTACAATTTTGTTAGTCTTAAAATTTCTTTTATCATTATTATTTTTTTTTTTTTTAAATAATTATTTACAGCATGTTCTACTCCAACTGATCTCTAGATCAGAGGCAGCAGCCATCAATAAAACAAATGAATTGTGATGTCAATTGTAGACTGATAAATTCTTTGCTCTTCTTCTTTTTTTTTTAAATTGTAGCTCCGTCAAGCGTCGCCAAGGTGAAATTGATTTTGCCAAGAAGCTACTGATGCGAGCCTTTGGAGTGAGCAAGGAGGTCGTAGGTCAGGACCACCATTACACGGCTGCTTTAATTGGAAAGGTGAGTCCCGTCTAGAATCACAATATATCGAGGGGTCAGTGAAACACAGACGTAAATCCATATTTTGCCAAAATGAGTATTTGATATCAAAATGTTCAGAAAAATGTTGGCTTTCCAAGAAACACAAAGACTTAACTCCTCCCAACACCCCATTGAAGTCAATGGCTAGTGAAACATAGACTTAACTCCTTAAGGCCCAAGTGGACCTCTATCTTTAAACCACTTTTTCTAAAAATGGCCAAAATGGAGTTACGTCTTTGTGTCACTGACCCCTAGATATGTTGTAGTTTTTGTTTGTACTTCAGAGCTTTAATAGTTAAAGTTAGGGGCATGCCGAACCACAGATTTTTAACAAAAGACCACGTCTGGCCAATAATATCAACAGTTCACCTACATGTACCTACATGAATCCAGCTAGCTGATGATAGCATGCATGCACCAGACATTTTGATCCAGACTTGCATGCATGCCTGAACCACTAGAAGTCCAAGATGGCCGAGACAAGCATATGTTAAAAAGCCACAGATACAATCTGTGTATGGGCTGATAAAGGTCATTTGTACCAGAATTGTAAAACCCACCGAGAAAAAGTACCGGATACGATGCTCATGAAAGTTGTGTCATCATTATTAATTTATGCACCGACTACATTCTATGGAACACAGGTGGGCAAACACAGGTATTCAGGAAGCACATTCATGACTTAGTTGATTCAGTGATTTTGAAATGCCTAAAGAGCCGGGGTCTACTCCATGCTGTGTAAAAGATATGTGGATATTTAGGGTCAATTTTACTTTGTGCTAAATACAAACTGGGCTATTGATGATGTATTCCATATTAGAAAGTTGTACTCATCAGTGCCACCGTATATCACTGTGCTACCTTATTAAACCCTATGCCCTTTACCCATTGAATTAAACCTGAGGCTGTGCTCAAGCTTAGTCTGAAATGAATTTATCAATCTCATTTAGCCTAAGTTTCTCTGATTGATTCAACACAGACTGAGCATCTTGTTTAAGATATTCAGTGGGATTTTTAAAAAGTCCCGACGTTCTTTGGTTGAATAGATACCATACCCACTGTTCAAGTAAAGTGATCTACATCTGTAGCTTAATTTTGTTTCTCTTCCTTAAATAAATACAAAAAAATTGACGTTTAAGTGCATGGCAGGTGAGTGCAACAAAGGTTGTGCGTGTATTCCTGGGCTCTGTGTTATTAAAGATAAAGAAATATGATGCATACTACACTTTACGTCATCATTGAGAAGAAATAAAGCTTGGTTTTGCCATGTAATATCTAAAAAGCTAATTTGGACTGTGCTACAAGGAATTTCAAATGTTATTTGCCCGGTATTAAATTATTTATTTTTGGATTCTTTTGGACTGGTCACTATTTATATCCGTCCTCCATTTATTACCACAAACTATTTTACTGGGGCCTACAGCTTTACAAGCTTGCTTTCATGTAGGTCCCATCATATTTCTCTCAGTTAAATCAGTACTCTATATTGACCACTTATCTTTATGTTATTTATTAATTATTATGTATTACTGTTAATTATATGTTAAACATGAGAAATATGAAAATAAAATGAAGTGCCATGGTTACGATTCAAGCATGGAGTTCTCCCATGTTTTGCAATTCACCGATATCTACATTAATTCATCCTGGTTGACATGCATTCTGTCCAACAGCTTGGAGAGATACTCTACGACCAAAGTCGACTGGAGGAAGGCATAGCGTGTCACACGTTTGATTTCAACGAGACTCTGAGAGAAAGTGGATCCGAGCATCCCCACATAGCGGCCATCTTGAACAACATCGGGTTGGTGCAGGATGACATGAATGCTAGTGGTACAGAGAAGACCTTCAGTTTAGCCCTGGGGATCCTACTCGAGGCATATGGCAAGGATCATGTTGATGTGGCTACAATCAGGTAAGATTCATTGAAGACATATTCTCCTTAAAGCCTATCTGCCAAGTAACATTAAAGATAAAGGGGACCATGTGAACAATGGTCACCGCTTAGACATTGTTTGCTATATAGAGGGTGCAAGTAGCTATAAGTAGTGCAGTGGGGCTTTAAATGGATTACTATCAGTATTAGAATATGAAGAAGAAATGACAGTTGGCCTGTAGATAAATATCTACATTACATTCTATATTGTAGCAGTGTAATTAGAATCAAGCAATATTTAACAGATTTTAGCAGAAAAAAATTAACAATTTAATGCAGAGTTATTTATTTGCCAGTCTTAAAGTTAAAGTATAGTAGTCATGAGAGGCTTATAAGGTTAATAAATGCTCTTTGGTATGAAGGAATAACTGCATGTATTTTTAATGTAATAGGTAAAGTCTTTTATGGTTTTCTTGTTTTCCCAATGTGATAATTAAGAGAAACCATCTTGAAATTATTAAATTTGAAGATATCGAATTGTAATTTATGCTTTCAACTCCAATTGATTTAATTATTATTTGTTTGTATGTTATGTTGCTAGTAGGCTGTGGGCTGAGCGCGATTTTCTTTCAGGTTCGTTGCATAGATTACTGGTACAAGATTTCGAAAATTTTAATAAAAAGATAAAAATACACAAATTCCAAATCAGTTTGTTCCCAGGTGAAAGGATTGTAATTAGTATAGTATAAAAGGTAATTTAAGTTGACAATTAGCTGAAGAGAACTGTGCGTGAACGAGACCGCCAACTCTCTGTTCGTACACGTGCATGAAATATATTCGGCCTATAAGGGTTAGGTCTTTGATTCTGTTGTTAATGGTCCCTATGGAGATATTTAAAGATGTATGTCCAATATATCTTTCAATCATGGTATGTATGTTTAATCTTATTCAATTTTACAGATATAATCTCGGAGCACAGTTCTTTGGCAACAAGATGTACCAGCGTGCCAAGTACCAGTTTGAGGAGGCTTACCGCGTCTTCAACCTGTTCCTCGGGGAGCATCCCAGCACCAAGGCAGCCAAGACAGCTGTTGATATGGTCGATAGTCTGTAACTGTCATCTCTTTCAATCAAGTAACTTATCCTTTATCAAAACCTGAAGATCACCCGCATCAGGAAGATGCTGTTCCATTTATCTCTTTCATCATTAATCATTTATAGGGAGGGGGGAATTGATTGCGTCCATTTGCTCATAATTCAAAATGAATACCCCCACATGTCATAAGGTTGATTGAGACCCCTATTTGGTCAAATTTCTGAATATTTGGAAAAAACATGAATTTTTGGCCAAAATGGTAATCATTCCAACCAAACAATTCTCTAGTTATGAAGACGAAAAAAAATGGTGAAAGACAAAATAATTGTTTTCATCTTTCTTTATTGTTAATAATTTGTGAATGTCATTTCTGTCAATCAAGGAACTTATACTTTACAAAACTTGAAGATCACCCCTATCAGGAGGATGCTGTGTCATGAAATTCATTATAATTAATGTCTACCACAATTAAGTTCTCTTACAAGTGTGCTCACCAATCATTGAATGCACTGCTTTCAAATGCTTATATGAATTAGTGTAACTTTTTTTTTATAACAAATTTTGAGAAACAGATCCCAGGTCTGTACAGCGGTTGTTGAGATGATAGATAAATTTTTGTTTTAATTCTTTAAAGTTAAATATTTTAAAGTTAAGGTCCTGTTAAACTCTGTCCAACGACTCGTTCAGTTATGACTAGTCCACATGTGCAGAACCAATACTTGAGAAGACGATAAGACAAGGTTTCTTCCAGCTTCCATAGAGAATGTCCAGCAGTGTCGACAATTTTCTTATTTTACTAAACTATTGTTCAGGTTTCATGCACTCCTCCATTGATTTGATGAGAGTTATGTAGGCAACACCACAATCTGTAACTTAGAATTTATTGGTTCCAAAACTATCATTTCTATCAGACTTTCCCCGTTCTCGACCCATTGAATTTGTATGGGAACAGGAAGTGACTTCGCTAAATATACCAATTGCCGGTGCTGTCCTTTGTAGAAGAATACCATAAAATTAATGATTGAAGAAATTCATACATGTCATTGTGAAATTGATTTCTCACAAATTCGAAAAAAATTCTCAACCATCCAGGTAGTGGATTAAACAACATCAATAACAGCATAAGCAAAAAAAAAAAAAAGTCCAGTTAACTTGTTTATAACATATAATCTTATGGATTTCATAATTTAATTCATGCGTTCATTGTTCATTTTGTCACAAATAACATTAGTTTTTTTTTACGGAATGGAGTATCGTAACTCAATGATCCATGAGTTTGTGGACTAAGACCGGGCATTATTACTTTGTCCATATTTAAGATTTCAAGCCAGAAAATCTTATTATTTTTATACATGTACATGTATACAGGGTATCTGCTTGAGTTCTTCAATGCCTTGTGTGTCAATTTAATGGATTCAGTATTTTAGCTGAAAAATTGTTTCTACTAAGTTATTGTTTTATAATCTAGAAGATGGTTTTAAAAGTATAATTCTCAGGCAAGCTTGGATTTTACACATGGGTATTGTGTCGTAATTGACTTATTTTCAGGGATTCCGTCTTTCATTCAGTACAATTTGCTGTGGTTATCTGCAATGTTATTCAATTCAATGTGTACTTGTGTAGATATATATTAGTTTTTAACAATGGCAATAAAATATTATTCCTAAACTAGCATGGATTTTTATACACATGAATATAATGTCATCATGTTGCATAATATATGTTCTAAATTTTATGAGTGCTTGTATTTTAGACTTTTCTGATAATCTTTGTTTCATATACCATGTCCGTCTGTGTCACCTTGAATGTAAGAGACCAGCCCAGGGGGGTGTTTCACAAAGATCATAAGTTGAACTTATCTCCAAGTTGGACTTAACAATTATGGAAAGCCGTTAGCATCTATGAAAATATCTTGTTAAAGTTATTTGAAAGGCATACAATGTTGATTCAGATCATTTCTATTTTCTTTTATCAAGGAGATTTCATGTTGTTGATGTGGAATTTATGGAAAGTCTAAAATACTTGAATTTTTGCTTTTGAATATATTTAATTTGAAGGCTACAAATGGCTCTCCATAAGTTAAGTACGACTTAGGATCTTTGTGAAACAATCCCCTGATAAGTGTTTGAAAACAATCAGTAAATGTGGATGTGTGCTTGGTGAATCGTGTCCTCCTGTGTCACCTTGGAATTTGTGTTCCTAAAATAAATGAACTTTTAATTATTGAGGGAAAAATTTGAAAGGAATTTTCTATTTGAGCCTTGTGTCTTTCCTTCACCTTGAGTACATCTGAATTAATCAGGATAAATTATAAGTAGTATTTCGTCTGTCTTGTCTTTCATGTAACCTTTAATTATGTGAGACCAAATACATCTAAATTTATCAGGAAAACCTTGATCAGTATTTGATGTTTTGTCAATCATTTTTACCAATATGTGTGTGAATAATTAATGTTTGTGGACAATTTCATTTTTGTTAAATTATTTTGTCTGTCTTGTCTTTAATGCCACCTTGAATTTTGTGAAACCAAAGACTTGTGAATTATATCATGGTACACTTTGATAAAATATTTTGTAGATCATGCCTTTCTGTGTCACCTTGAAATCTTGAAATTTATGAGACTAAATACTTTTGAATATTTAAGGGCAAAATTTGAGAGAAGTATTTTTGTAATGTGTGTCTTTCTGTCACCTTGAGTACATCTGAATTAATCAGGGTAAAATTTGAGAAGTATTTCGTCTATCTTGTCTTTCATGCAACCTTTAATTTTGTGAGACCAAATAGGTCAGTATTTATCAGGGCAACTTTGATTAGAATTTGATGTTTAAACACTCATTACTACCAATATGTGTGTACATGTTTTATTTGTCTTACTGTTGAATTGTTGTATTCATATTTGATATGAACTTTAGGGATGAATATTTAACTATAGATTACAACAAAGGATCAAATATTGTAAATATTATTTGTAGATGTTGGAAATATTATTCGTAGATGTTGGAACGATTAAGATGAATAACCATGACAAAAAATTGGTTTGAATTATTATGATATAAGTGAAATAAGTGTATATGTTATTGACAATGTTTTACCAAAGTAAAATATTTTATCTGCTGGTATGTTCATCCACCTGGAAAAAAATAAACAATTTATTTTTAATGACTGTGCACTATATTAAATTTGACACAAGTTTGTACAGTACACCAAAATTAGATACAAACTAATAGTTATAATGCCTGGGATTTAAATAGTGTTTTTTCCAGAGGATACAAGGCATTTTAAAAATTTATTTTACGTTTATTATTTGTTTGACAGAGTTTTTCTGATCGTGCTGCCAGGTTTTTTTCATATGTCCAAATCTAGTTCTGATGATGTAGAAATATTTTTGTATATTTTTAATAAGTTTTTTACTAGAAAGTATCTAAATAGTGTGTGTGATTTCTCTTGCTGATAAGTTTTATTCATATAGCTGTCCACATGTAGTTCTTTTTAAGTAGCAATATTTGTGTATATTTTTTTATAGGTTTAGTACTAGACAGTATCTGAATTTTATGTGTGATTCCATGTATTTGTATTGCGCTTGTATACTAATTGTTTCACATATTGTCATTTTGATGTGCAGTACTAACAACCTGGCATATTCACTTCATGTTGACTATGTGTGTGCATATGATAGTTACAAATTTCACTCAAAGAAGAATAACTTTCCAGGATGATTTTGAGAGTTAGAAACTTCATGAAAAAGTGTCATACTTTTCAAAGAGGAACTACGAATCGAATAACATGAGGCAAAATTCTCTGAAAGTAAGGTAATTTTTGTGAATTTGTACATAATAAGCCCATAATAGCGTTATACATGTAAATTTATTTAAAGCTCATTAAGTATAGCCACGTATTGTGTGTCCGGACAGATGATTTTAAGCAGCAAATCAAACAAAAATCCGTGCAAAAATATTTCAGAACCTTTGAAAATTTATATTGGACAATATGATTCATGACAAATCGTAATGGTGGTTGGTCCGTTGTTTATCTGTTTATGTAACTTAATGGCATACGTGACAGCTTCATTTTTGTTAAGTGTCCGAATACACAACCCCCGTCTTATACCTCCTAGGCAAAACGGGGTCATATTTTGTGGAAAATGCTCTTGAAAGTCCGCAGGTTAAGAGGTCATTTTCGACTCCACCAACGCCCGGAATTATTACTTTGAATATGAAGCGAGACCCACCGGAACAATGATGGCCGCCTGTCATATAGAAAGCATTGAATTCCATTTTTGTATCAAATATATAGACAATCACATTGAATATGAATAACAGTAGTGATGTGTCGTATGAAAAGGCAAATTCAACATTCCATGGATCATCACATTTATCACCGTGTATATGTGTAACAAAGTGAAATAAACATCTGTATTAAAATACATCAGCACCAAGTGATTGTCGGTTTCATTCATTTCATTCCGTTTTAAAAAATTTCGCATCTACTTTCGAAAAATGATATCCCACTGTGTACCGTATAGAAATCATGTTTAGATTACGTAATGTGCAGCATGCTGGTTTGCAAAGTAGCTAGACACAACTGACAGGAGCTTGCATGAAGTTCACTTACAACTAAATTAATCTAATCAACATAATCAAACACGTATTTACAAAACATAAACATACATAAGTTATAATGAGCACACAAATACATTAAACAAGATATAATGTTGAAATGAGCGGGGGGGATAAGCGTACACTTTTTTTTTTTTTAAATCCTAAAAAAAAGCGCAACGACTCAGCCAGCCGAAAAGTCGCTCAGTGGGGGGTGGGGGGGGGGGGGGGGGGGGGGGGTAAGAGGACACTCTTTTTTTCTTTTTTTTGGTCTCGAAATTTGAAAATTTGAAGAAAAAAAATTGTTGGGGGGGGGTGTAAGGTCACCTTTTTTAGGTCGGCCATGGGCATAATTTTTTTTTTTTTTTTAATAATAAAAAAAATAAAAAAAAGGGGGGGTTTTAGGTTTTTTTAGGGGGGTTTACACACATAAAAATACCACCCCCCCCCCCGTGCGTACGCGCCTGATCCCAGTTCAAACAACTATCAAATATTACACCAAGATATTTGAATTAATTTACAACTTCTATAACGTCATCTCTGTATGTCCAGCGTACAGTTTGATTTTTTATTCGTTTTCTTGTCCTAAATAACATGATCTTACACTTCTTAATATTCAACATTAAGTCATCTTTTTCATTGTAATCAACTATTTTTTGAAACTCACATACTATAAAGCGTTTTCTCAACAAGGGCAATTTCTTTGCCTTGGCGAAATATTGCCGCATCATCAGCGTATAAACATATTTTAGTATTTTCACAATAGGGCAATTCACAGAGGTCATTAATAAAAACAGTAAAAAGAAAGGGGTCCAATATTGATCCCTGTGGGATTCCAGTATTTACACTTCTAAATCCAGACTGAGCACCTTTAACCACGACGCATTGTAATCGATCACTTAAGTAACTTTTAATCCAGGCCAACTCTTTTCCTTTTACACCATACTTGTCTAATTTGTAGAGAAAAATATCGTGATTCACCGAATCGAACGCACGTTTCAAGTCCAAAAACTAATGCACCGGAGATAAGACCCCTAGGTCTATCTATCCCCCTTAGAAAGGAATCATTCACATCAACCAGCGTCGTTCCCGTTGAGTGAAGCGGTCGGAAGCCCGATTGCCTATCACTAAGAATACCATTATCATTGAGATAATCATACAATGGGAGTATACTGCCTTTTCTAAAATCTTAACAATATGTGAAAGAACCGAAATCGGACGATAGTTGGATGGGCTTTCCTTGTCTCGGCCCTTAAAAATAGGCGTTACCCTAGCGCTCTTCCATTCAATCACAGGAACAAAACCAGTGGAGAGTATAAGTACGTTGACACGCATGATCAGTCGGCGTTCGTCGTGTTCTCGTCCACTCAATCTAAAAGTCCATATTCTAGTAGTAGTACCGCGTATCTAAACTAGACTTGGCTAGACTTCGACGGGTACGGAGGCCCTAAATCTATAGTATATTTTCGTCTCTCATTTCGCTGGCATTGCTGTTTGTGAGTAGAAGGCCTATTTATAGATCTAGATCTAGTTCTACACCTTTCGGGATCGGGACCATAAAGACCCACCACTGTAGAGGTCTAACAAAGTTACCAGTTGTTTTTAGCCTACTGTTATTGACTTTTGTTAAATCAAACGTAGATCTAGATCTCGACTCTAGATCTATGGTAGACTAGAGTCTAATTGGTATGGGTTAGACTAGATAGAGTCTACACTTAAAATACTAGACCGAATTTTCCGTCTCTTTCGTTCGTTAGCCTCTTATTGGGGTAGGGTCGGCTCTCTCTTTAGAGACGGAAGCCGTTTATACACAAGTCCTTGCTAACGCCACGGCCAGTTCTGGTCGTAGCGTTTTGCCCCCAAAATCCCCCAAAATGTCATTTTACCTCGAGCATGTTATATTGTAAATTAGGCCTAGGCTATAATAAATCAGTTCCACTTACCAACTTGACTGAAATAATCAGTTTAATAGTCCCTTTTTAGGAAATTATGGGTCAAAATCGGAATCCATGTTGAAAAAGATTTTCAAAATGGATTTCGATTTTGACCCATAATTTCCTAAAAAGGGACTATTAAACTGATTATTTCAGTCAAGTTGGTAAGTGGAACTGATTTATTATAGCCTAGGCCTAATTTACAATATAACATGCTCGAGGTAAAATGACATTTTGGGGGATTTTGGGGGCAAAACGCTACGACCAGAACTGGCCGTGGCGTTAGCAAGGACTTGTGTATAAACGGCTTCCGTCTCTAAAGAGAGAGCCGACCCTACCCCAATAAGAGGCTAACGAACGAAAGAGACGGAAAATTCGGTCTATTAAAATACCTGATTAGAAACAGAGTGAAATTTAGACATTTAAGTTAGATCTAGCCTAGGCCTAGGCCCTAGAGTCTACTTTAGATCTCACTACAAATTTGTTCGTCGAACTGAACAATTAGGCCTAGAAGGTCTATGGATTTGTACTCTGGCTAAGTTGGAGAGAGAGATCGAGTCGAATCGATTGTTTTGTCATCGTGGTTGTTATTTTTTGTTTGTGTGGCGCCAGTATTTCAATAGGGTCTTCTTTGTCTCTAGATCTAGACTCTAGACCTATATTAATTGCCATAATTCATTGTCATCCAACATAGAGTCTACTGTGTCGTATCTTCAGACAGCATGCATTATTATTCAAGTATAAAATCATGTAGATCTAGGCCTATAACAAGTTAGAGCTATAGATCTACTATAGACAGGCCTACGAAGTATGATATTTGTCGTCAACCTTGAATTTGTATGCGATGCCTAGCGACAGCACTGTCCCATTACGTGATCAAACCTTTTGTTGTCGATCATGCCATTGTCGTTCTCGTATGCCCTACATAACTTTTAGAATGAGAACTTGCTCATGCGTGTGTAGACTGCTTTCTCAGCTGTTCCCTTTTCATCATTAGGGACTTTTAGATTTGCACAACGACAACGTGGATTGCTAAGATCGACGTCCTCTTAATGCACTGCCTTGAATGGACGTCACACGTATCAGTCCACGCAAATCTAAAAGTCTAACGTTAGTGTTAGGGCCTAGAAGATTTGGAATCACTTATAATATGAGATCGGCACGCTCCCTTTGAAGCTACCAATTTAAATCTCAGATGTAATCATATTAAAAGTGAGAGGCACAATAATAATGTAGATATTGACCCTGACAAAAATTATTTTGCAATCTTTGAAAATATTTTGTAAAAGTTAATTAAAAGGCATAAAATGTTGATTCAAATCGCTCATATTTTTCTATTATCAAGGAGATATCATGTCCTTGATGTGGAATTTACGAAAAGTCTAAAATATTTGAATTTCTGCTTTTGAATATATTTCATTTTAAGGCTACAAATGGCTCTCCATAATTTTAAAGTCCAACTTAGAGTTAAGTTCTACTTTTTGTGAAACACCCTAGACCATGAGGTGGTAGATTTGTAAACAAATTTGCGCGAGTTACCAAAAGTAATGCAACGTTTTCGAATAGACCTCTATACTTGTACACAGGCGCGTACGCAGGGGGGGGGGGGGGGGGGGGCTTTGGGGGTTGAACCCCCCCCCCCCCCCCCCCCCCCCTTCATTTAAAAAAAAAATTGTGATAATGGTGACCCAAAAAAGCTGACATTTTAATCACTCATGCGTGAAATGTGCATCATCTGAGTTGCATCATGAGAAGAGGATCTAATTAGCTTTCCAAATATGTGTCATTTATTAATTATAATTGTGCTTAAGTTATGATAAAACACCGATAGTTCTCGGTTTCGTTTTTTCTGGGACGCACTGTATATTGATATATTTTTTTTAGAATTTGAATATTAAAACTTGGTATTCTATATCGTCTCAGAAAACATATATTTAGTGTGTAAATCTACATGTACGTTTTGCCTGTGATGCGAGTGAGTTACGACATTCTACGATGTGTGTGTTTTTCTTACAGATTATCAAAACGGGAAAAATCAAAGGATACTGTAACTATATTCGATATGAAGCTTGTTATATTTGCCATCACGCTCGCAGCGGTATTTGGTAAGTTTGAATCCATTTTGATTGTTTTTAGGCAAAAAGATGTTTGTAAAATTATCCAGCGCGTTGCTTCAATAATTTCGCGGTGAACCTCATGCGCAGGCGTTGTAACATGGACGAAAAGCGAATATGAAGATAGCAGTTTGGTACTCTAATCTAGAGATGTACGTCGAGTTATACAGCAAAAGTTATTTCACCAATTTGTTGGAACAAATGTAACTACCCCTTGCGGTTACTCCAAGTTTTAGCTTTAAAAAATAATAAATAACCCAAAATGAATTTGCACATTGTGCCTATTCTGAAAGATGCGCCTGATTCCTGTTTACTGGTGTATAGACTATGTGATATATGTTTAAACCTGATTTTCTTTTGCAAGCTTCCAAAATGTAGTAGCAGCTTCCAGAAAGTATTCAATGGTCATTTTCGTAATTTAGTGAACCGCAAAATCATTGAAGCAACAGGCTGGAGGCCTGGAGCAGGTCAAATTCAGTGTTTTGGGCTGGTTTGATCACAACACCATCGCTTAGCATACAACTTTTTGGAACCAGTAACGTTGACGACTTGGCCAGTATGACTGACGTCACTGGGGACTTATAGATTCGCACGAAGACAATGGGGATTGCTACGATCGACGTCCTTTTAATGCACTGCCTTGAATGGACGTCACACGTATCAGTCCACGCAAATCTATAAGTCCCTATTGTTCGGTATCTATGCACGCATTCATTCACCCGTTACGAATAATTGTATTTCAAAAGTCAGAGTCCAAATTGAATATACTACGTGTTGTTATTTAGGAAGGACTAGAGTGTTTGTACTCCCTGTATGTATAATGCATTTTGCATTCTGACTATTGTACAATATTCGTAACAGTTAGTTTTGAGGCTCTCGAAAGACAAGGCCAATAACTTTATGATAGTTTTTTTTTCTGAATGAAGATGTTTCTCCATTATACATCATTATAATCTATAGTTATAAGGCTTCCAAGTGGTACAATAAATCAGTGTATTCAATACCTTTAGTGCAGTGCCCGGATGACAGATCAATATTGTTTTCGTATTGCTCTGTCATCCGGGAACTTCATTAATTCGCTACACTGCAAAAACAGTGGTGTTAAATTCAACACCATAGGTGTTAATATTAACACCATTCCGGTATCTATATCGGAAAACACCAGTTGGTGTTATTTAACACCAAGGTCTGGATTTGAATGATTCAATTCTACTCTTGGTGTTGCAATTCAATTCTATTTTTGGTGTTAATATAAAATCCTACACCATTTTCTGGTGTAACAATGAATCTGATTTCTGGTGTTATTTAACACCACCGCCTGGAATGAAATAATTTTAATTCTACTCTTGGTGTTGCACTTCAATTCTATTGTTGGTGTTATTTTACACCAATTCTAGAATTAAATAGTATAATTCTGCTCTTGGTGTTGCAATCCAATTCTATTTATGGTGTTAATATAAAATCCAGCACCATTCTTCGGTGTTGCAATAAATCCTATTTTTGGTGTTATATAACACTAAAGGTCTACTACTTTTCTACTCTTGGTATTGCAATTCAATGCTAGTCTCAGTGTTTAAAAAACTCAACACACCATTCTTTCAACACCAACAATTCATTCCAGCTCACTCCATCTTAACACATGCACAGAAAATATTCAAATACACACAAGTGAAAAGAAACAATTTTTTTTCGTAAACAAAAACACATGGTGCTTGTTTAATCAATAAATTAAACAACTTGTTTTCATTCATGTTGAAATCAATGATGCTTAGCGTTTTTATCTTGTATGGTTCAACATTAAATCCTTTTGTCATGTATTCAAAATCTGTGACTCATTTGTCTGAATACAACAAAACACACTTTTTTAAATCATTCAAAATCTGTTATTATGAATCCACCCTTATAAGTAAAAAAAAAAGGATGAAACAAGTAACTAAAAATCATTCAAAATCTGTTATTATGAATCCACCCTTATAAGTAAAAAAAAAAAAAAGGATGAAACAAGTAACTAAAAATTTTCCAATATAAAAACTTTAAACAATGTCATAATTCCTTTCAAGGAATGAAAAATCAAAGTCGTTTCTAATAAATAGAAACTAAACAGGATGCAAAATGCATGTATAAATGAAGACAAAACAAAAAAAACAACAAACATTATGCTTCTACATCAGAGTGAATTATGTAGCTAATAAGAATTTTGACACATTTCACCTTGAATCCTAGTACATGCATGCTGAAGGAAAATATCACAGAATCTTTTTCATATGAAATATACAGAGTGCCCCCCCCCCCAAAAAAAAAACCTTGGAAACTGCTAGTATAATCTGCAGGCAGACTCTCGGCTTCGGTTTTTCGCAAGTTTCGTAGTGCATATTTCAGAGTCTGCAGTCAGAGACTACTTTCACTCATATCATGATCCCTTAAAGGGAGCATAACTGTATGTGTATATGTAGTCTCTAAATGCAGACTCTACATCGTGCACTATGCAAATTGCAAAACCGAAGCCAATGGTCTGTGCCCGCAGACTAATTATAGTATGACTTTAATTTCTTATGCTAGAACAATAGCAACACTAACAAATCTCATCCAGCAGTTTTGTTGAACAAGATTTTTTTACCACAGGCCTGCAACCATTGAGATTCAGGATGATTTAATTATTTCAGGGGATTTTTATCTCCTAGCTTCACTGCTTGTAAAGGGTTAAACAAATGTTTCAAAAACATTGAAAAAACACTATAAATTCTACATTCATTCTAATATAGGTGAACATTCTTTTACAGCTTTCTGTTTACAAACATATTCCATTTTACATCGTGCACTATGCAAATTGCAAAACCGAAGCCAATGGTCTGTGCTCGCAGACTAATTATAGTAAGGCTTTTTAATGTCTTATGCTAGGAAGCAGCCTTCAAGAACAATAGCAAAACTAACAAATCTTATCCAGCAGTTTTGTTTAACAAGATTTTTTTTTACCACAGGCCTGCAACCATTGAGATTCAGGATGATTTAATTATTTCAGGGGATTTTTATCTCCTTCACTGCTTGTAAAGGGTTAAACAAATGTTTCAAAAACATTAAAAAAACACTATAAATTCCACATTCATTCTAATATAGGTGAACATTCTTTTACAGCTTTCTGTTTACAAACATGTATTTCCCATTTTACTCCTGGGAGAAAAAATCAAAAAGTAAAATTATGCATTTCTATATCAACTAATTCGCTGCTCGTTTTTCCAACAGGATATAAACAACAACAACAAAAATCAGTCCATGCACTTCTAGTTCACTGGCTTTCATGCACAAACATCATAGAATTGTTTTTCTTGTAAGAAAAAAAAAGAAAATATACAACAGCTATTTGACTTCAATTTGGTTTCGAATTAACCAATTTAAAGATGTTAACAATTAAGAGTCCAAAATATTATTGATCAAAATTATTTTTAAAACCAATTGATACCACTAAGCAAAACCAGACATTAGCTTGAAAGCTTTAAATTACTTAAAAAGTACATGCCTTGGTGCTACATACTTCCTCGAGTCTGTCTTCGACAAAGTTGTCATCAAATCTAGTGGTTTGTAGTCAACAAGTTCCTTTTGATTCTTCACTACATGACAACGTGGAAAACTAAATTCTACTGCATAGGCATGATAGTGTGAATTGTAATACACTGTATCTAATTGGACAAGTACAAAAAATACAGTGCTATTGTGTACAATGATATGCTCTATTTGACCAAACAGAGGAAGCTCGCTAACATCATGGCAGACCAGAAGTGACAACTGATAATGTGTTCCATGTACTTTAACCCAGTTGGCATCAAATAATTCAGTAGAAAGATCCTCTACTTGGATTTGCTCTTGCACAATCTGTCCAATATTTTCATCTAAATCTGACAAAAGTAGTGAACTACCTGGCCCAACCTCCAGATATTCCAAAGGATGGTTTGACTGAAGATGGAACGTTAGTGCTGTCTGATGTTTTTTGGCAAGTGATTTACAAATGTTTTTGTAATTACGCACAGATTCTGCAACACGGCCAAAATAGTGATGTTTCGCTTCGTACCTCATACACCATACATGTATGAGTGGCCCAACTTCTCTCAAACACGTTGGATAATGCACCATAAAGTGGTGTTTTGGCAACAACCTTCTGTCAGGAAAGGTTTTCTGGAAATGTGTGTGATGTTCTTCAGTAAGAATAGACAATTGGGCTATCAAGCCTGCTGTCAATTGAGGAGCAAAAATAATGTCCATACAATCTAGTAATCTAAGTAGCAATTCCCAGTAGACATTTCCTTCTTCAATGTCTTGAGCAATTATGAATGGCAGATTTCGAATCAAGCACCATGCTTGCATAGCCTTCTGTCCAACATCATTCCTAGCTGACCTAAGTTTAATAAAGGATGGTTTGTTCTTGTTATCTGTACGGTTTAAGCAATGGCTGGCGACTCTCTGATTCAGTTCATCTTGGGACAAGAGGGGCGGTTGCCTTTCATATATGAAATACTCTAGAACAAGTTTCAGCTCATACTGAACTATGCCTTCCAAAAGATCATGCATTATATCTAGTGAAAAGTTTGCCAAGACATGAAAGTAAATACAATCATTCAATACAGTCTTTTGTTTCACTCCAAACACATGTGACTGGGTAGTTTGAGCTTCAGCTTCTTCTAAATGTTGCTCATAAGTCTGCCTGGTGCGCATATCCATTGAAACCTCTTTGAATTTGTTCTGTGCCTCTTCCTTACTTGTAACACATAATCGACAGTAATAATGAGCAGAAAAGCTCTCTACAAATCCCAGTAGGGAATTAGCACCAAGATTATCAGCACTTATTTGAGTAATGGTCCCCTTCTTCACAATTCCATTAGGGAGAGCAATGCCAACTGTTGACAGGATATTAATGTCTTTTACAATGTGCTTGAGAATAGCATTAAATCCATATTTCTTGGCATCTTCAGCATACCATAGAGCTATAAGATTGATATTGG